ATATGTTTTTCTTTATCAGTACTTAGTAAATCACAGTATGCTTTATTAATTCATGATTTCAAGTCCGTAACCTGTTTTCTTAATGTTATATTTTCAACATGTGTTTTTAACAACCAGCTCATGTCTCTTGATGGACTACTGAATATGTTTGTCTGTAAAGTTTGGTTTAATATATTTTATTTTTAAACTATGCATAATTTAAGTGAGACATTTGACAATTTATTTACGGTAATAATATTAAGTTACCAGTACGGTAGAGTTGTTTTTTTTATAGAAGGTTAAGGATCACAGCTAAGGGGTCGTCCACATATTATTATGTAACACGTTTTTGCCATTTTTAAACCCCTCCCTCCCTTCCTGAGGCTGCACAATGCAAGCCTAAATCCCTCCTCCCACCTCTGTAAGACATTTTCTTAAACCAGGTTGAAGGGTATGAAATCTTTTAGATGAATGAAATTTTCTCTTATACAGTAGTAAATTTTTTTTTTATTGTTTTAATGTTATCAATTAAAAAAAAATAATTATAACAAACTTAACACTTTATATGAACACAATATCTAAACAGATGATTTTTTGTGAAATTTGGTACTAATCCATTAAATCTCCAAGCGTGTTTTAATATTTTTAAAACTTATTTTTAATGGTGATTTTCCCATAAAATAACGGAAAAATCAGATTTTCTCAAAAACGGCCAGAACGATTTTGATAAAATTTTTGTATGTTATAGTATTTTAAATTCTATACAAAATGGCACAAATACCATTTCTGTACAAATTACGGTTCCAAAGTTATTGTAACTTATTTATTTTCCCATAAAACCCCCACTAAACAAAAAAATTGATTTTATAAAAAAGGCCGGTTTGATTAAAATTAGTACCTATATTATTTTCCTTAAAATTTTGAACCAAATGGTTCAGATCCCATTTCCATAAAAAGTATGGATCAAAAGTTATGTCTTATTTTTTATTACCCTATGTTATTTCTCATAAAAACCCCAAAAAATAAAAAACATCATATTTTAGGAAAAAGTCGGGTTTGATTGAAATTAATGTGTTATGGTCCTTATAATTCTAAACAAAAATATAGTTCAACCCCCCATTGTAATTGTTTGCTGATACCGTTTATTTTAATGATTCAATACACTCACATTCTGAAAACTAGTGTTTTATTATTTAAAATTAAATGTAGCAAAAAAGTAGTTTGCTACAATTTGATTGTAGTTGTAGCTGTAGCAAGCTACATTTTGTAAAAATGTAGAAGTAGCAAAAGCAAGCTACATTTAGAGAATTGTAGTTGTAGCAGTAGCAAGCTACATTTAAAAAGTAGTTTACCCAACACTGCCTACATTTTACAGTACCTGTGAATTGCGGTATGTAGTGAAGTCTCGGCCAATGCATAAATATCACTCATTGGTGCAGATTGTTGCAATGTTCATTGAGGGATCACATGCATGAACGAGTGAAAATTTAAAAACGTATGTTTTCAGGAAAAGCACTTTGCAAATTTTTTCCCCCTTTTTCCAAAACTTTTATTGTTTTTTTTATTTCATTAACATTTGAAGTTTCATAAAATGTCCATGGTAACGCAATATCTTTGGTAGTTTTTTTTTTAAAGAGCATCTTTAGTGGAATAACGCAAAATCCTGTCACGACCATAACGGACCTTTAAATGAATATTAAAAATAGTTAATATTATTTTTATAACTATGTTTTGCTATAAACTAATTTACTTTTATGACCATTATACAATAAAAAGGTCACTGAGCTTTTGGTATATTTGGTCTTTCTAGAAAAAAATAAAAAAACTAAAAAAATTGAAAAAAAGCCAATAAAATCTTTTTAAGTTTGTATAACTCTGAAAAAACTTACCTGAGACCCGAAAAATCGTTATGTTTGTATAGATGTGTGCTTCTTTTGTGTATAAAAAATTGAAATATGACGATTTTAATTTTTGAAATTTTTATGATAGAAATCATAAACGTGATGGTCAGGGACAAGCGGTACGGTCGTGAATTGTCTGGAATAATCAAAATCTTTCTAAACAATCCTTCAATTATACTGTTAGTTATAATAAAAATATGTGTTTCAATTTAACTAAACTGTTCAATTTACAATTATATTAAAGTTATTGTCACGACCAAACACACTATAATCCATAAGGCTGGATTGGTCGTGAAAAAACCCGCGACGGTCGTGAAACTTTGGTCCTGAAATTACGTGTTATTTGGCTCTGTTCTGGCGGTAGCCCTGCACCTCATGTTCGAGGATACAAAGTGGACTTCTAGGTTAATCTAGCAATTGAAATATCTTATAAACAAAAATTAACACCATGTCTACTTCATCGAATGACTACGTACGGTCATGGACACACCAAAATTACAAAAAAACACAATCTTTCCTTTATTAATCTTGTAATTCCTCCTTTTAACTCGAAACGACCGGCACTACATTCCTGACGTACACCCCAAACTAGTCTCTAAAACCAACTGACTCCATCGACGCCAGGCTTGCCACTGTCGTGCTCCAAAGTTGAAAATTTTTCCCAAATGGTCGTGACGCGAAATCGAGGGACAGACTTATTTTGTCATGGTAGTCAGTTTGCAATGACAATAAAATTATAATATGCTCCTTTTTTGTAAGTTTAATAACCATTGATGACATAAAAATATGGCTTTATATATTTCGGCATGAATAATTAGTCTAAAAACAGCGTGAAAGTTGGAAAATGTACCCTAGGGACACGTCATGGTCGTGAATTTCGAGACTTTAAAAATACGAAAAAAATGCCTAGAACCTATTTAAAACCAAATAAATGTGTGTAAAATAATGCCCCCGCCCCAAAAAATATTACAACACATAATAATAAACTATAAATCCAGTATCCACGAAGTAAAAGGCCAGGGACATGAAAACGTACGTTTTTAAATTTTCACTCGAACGTGAACAAAGCTGAAGCATGCATTTACTTTATAACTCTTGAGGAACGCGAGCAAATTTTGCTTGGTTAGGAATACTTCTTCCAAATCGACAAAACTTTAGCTACAAAGCTGTGTCTATTTGCAAGGAAAACTTACAGGAGTAGTTGATTAAGGTTAAATAGCTTGTTAGGATTACATAGATGACATATTTATTCATATTATGGATATCAATCATATTATAATTAAGCTAATTGAAATATGCATAATTGATCTTATATATTTTTAAAAAATTGGTTTGTCTTTTCCGAATTAGTTTGGCTCTTCTACTCGATCAGTTTTCATAATTGAGGTCTCAAATTGAAGGTATGCACGCACAGAAAATTTTAGGAGGTGGCAAAATTTTAGAACATAAATTGTTCAAAAAGGATGTTTTAATCTAAAAAAATACTAAATGTTGAGCAATTAATTTTGAGAACTGCAAAAATGGTCAGAACACATAAATATGTCTTCATTCATGACCCAACTCTAGGAATGATGAAACTAAAAATATTTTTCATATGTTGGTGCAGACCAACCTTGTATGGTTTTTGCACCTATTGTATAATATGCATGTATCCATTATTATTGTTCAATAAATAAATTGATTGATTGATCACACTAGATAAGAGTTAAGCCTGAAACCCATAGATTAGAGAAATTTCATTTATCTCCCCAATATATAGGCCCATACGTTTACAATAACTTACCACTTTGCATACAGAATATTGATACAGTCGAACCTCAATAACAAGACTCTCGTGGGGATTGTAAAATAAAACTTGTTATTAAGGTCTAATTCTTATCGAGGTTTGTAATAACATGTGATTAGGGGTAAAATAATTGTTTAGGGGATTTGAAAATGACACTTATTATCAAGAGCGACTTGTTATCGAGGGTCTTCTTATCAAGGTTCCACAGTAGTTGTACTGAGTTCAGATCCACCCTGAAGACCTGGTAAAAAAAAAGGCTCCAAGGACTCTTAAATATGTCCCTGGTTCTTTTCTCTCTCCAGATTTACAACTGTCTCTTATCATAGTCACAATTTCAGATTGGGATAAAGCTGGGCATCTTTATACATGGATGTTAATTCAAGGCGAGAGTGAACCGTTTGTTAGTTAATAAATCAAACCAAACTATATGGCTGTTTACAGCAAAGACCAATTTAATGAGAAGTTTCACAAAAAGATCAAAATGAACAAGACAGCTGATCCAAGTTTAAAGCCTTACATTGTTGATTTTGGTTAGTTCACTTAGATAACCTAAATGTGTTATAGGTCAAATTACCTACATGCTAATGAAACCGGCAGCCCAGATCAAACCCTGATGACAATAAAGGATTTAATTTCATTGATACCAGAATACTAAATCTATAGGAGTAGCGTTATTGTTTGGCAGCTGGCCTTAAAATATACCTTAGAACCCTTTCAAACGAGACCCGCCACAGCTTAAACATTGTTTTAAATGAGGGCCTTAACACACGGCTACTGCAGATGCCTTCAGGACACAATGGCCGAGCAGTGTCTCCTCACATAAAATTAATAGTAATAGAAGACAAAACTAATACCATAGAGAAATAGAATAAATATAGACCGTCAGCTGTGCTGCGGTCAGCAGGAGTTTTGGCGTCCACCGCTAGGTTTGCCGTGTAGTTACGGCGCACACCGCTGCAGCGTCTGCTCCCCGCCTGCAGCGGTGTGCACCAGAAACTTCCTTTGACAGTCTATATTTATTCTATTTGTCTATGCTAATAATGAGGATCTATCTTGAATAATAATGAAAAGTACCCAGCCATTTGGATAAGTAATGGGAGAATAAGGGGATGTTCATTGCTCGTCAGCATTTTCTCAACTGGTCGTTGCCAGTTGCCCATACCATCCACTGCAGTTGCACGGCTGGTAACAGGTGGAAGCCACCAAGGGCCTCATGTGTAAGAGCCCTTAGAGTTCTGTTTTCTTCAACATTCAAAAATGTACCCATATCATACTCAAAGAAAAACAGACTACCAGTTACAACAAACAGAGTAGAAATCAAAGTATCGCTTACGTCCAAATATTATACTCATATTTATTGTTCTCACATGTTAAAAGGAACAAGTACATCAAAATAATTATTTCACAACACATGATCAAATACTTCTATGGGTACTATGTAAAATTAAAATTACATATAATAGTCAATAACTACTCAATTACAATAACAAAATAAAATGCAAATTCTGTGAACACTTATTTCTTGGGTGTGTTTGATCTCGTAGAACGAGTGGCAGGGGAGTCAGCTTTTGGGGTGGAAGGGGAGTCAGCTTTTGGGGTAACAGCTTTCAGAGGAGTCTGAGATGAGTTTTGCTCTTCCGTTTGCTTTTTTTCTGAAGGTAACTTATCTTCGTTCTTAACGACAGTCTTCTCAGCGACTTCAACAGTCTTCTCGGTAACTTCAGAAGATGTTAATTTATTTTCCTCAGGTTCTTGTTTTTCTGAAGTAGTTGAATTTTCAATACCATTTTTAGGTTCTTCTTTTACAGATTCTTCCTTTACCGTTACTGAGACGTTCTCGTTAGCTTTAGATCCTGCTTCACTACTGGTTGATGAAGCTGATTCAGATTTTAAAGAGAGTTGACCAGATTCCTTCTTAGCTTCTATACTATTCTTCTTATCAGTGTTCCCGCTTGACTCACAAACATCTTCCATTTCCACATCTTCAATTACTTCTTCTTTTGTATTTTGTTTCTGAACTACAATCGATGAAAGCTTGTCATGTATTTCAGCCATAATGTTGAAATAAAGCTTTGTTTTACCCTAAAACAAAAATTGTAGTATTAATTTATAAACACTGAGGTTTCTGATGGGTTTCTGAATTATAATTCAGGTTTTGAAAAGAAAGTAGAGGGAAATTGAGAATAATAGCATATCAGGGTTTATTTATAAGATGAGTGGGCCTTAGGTAATTCATGATGAATCCACTCATTTTTTTAATAAAAAAAATTGATTAAATTTTGTGAAAGAATTGAAAAATTCATATATATATATACAGTATATAAGAAGTTATTCATTTCATGATAGTGAGGCATTAACTTGATTTGAATGTTTATTTTTTTATCCTATTGAAGAGAAGTCAAGACATTTTGTTATCTACATCTCAGACTGCAAGAAATGTTTATGAAGACTGTTATGTATTAAACAAAAAAATCATTGAATATGAATGAGTTAATCGGTGACCTGTTTTACCATAAGTTGATGACAAAACATATTACTATCCAACAATCCAACAAATTCATTTATATTATGAAACACTTACATCCATGTTGCAGAGTTCGGAATTAGTATTAGTGAGCCTCTCCTTGTAGTCTCTTAGATCCGATGACAGCTTTTTGATGGTTGAAGAGTTTTTATTGTTGGAATCTTTGAGGTTGGCTGAAAAAATATGGCAATTAAAACCTGTCGCTCGGAAAAATTAGGGTAACTATAAACTATACCATCCTGCATGTAATTTGCTTAGTAATCTGAAGTAACATTGTTAACAGTTCAGGCCAATGTCTTTAGAAGATGAGGGGATTTTTTAAATCCGGTAGTCCTCAAGCGACATTGAGCCGGACATGGGAGCCCGGTACTGCTGAGAAGACATTGAGTCTTATGGTGTGCTTCATTGCATTTTGCATTTTTACCTCCCCCCTCCCTAAAAAAACTATCCTGCATAAAGTACTTTTTAATAATTTTCTATTAAACCCCCAATTTCATTACTCTGCATTACATTAAATGTTTATGTGTCAATTTATACAAAAGGTTTTATCAATTTTTTTAAGTTTTAGTTCCTTTTATAAATTTACAAAAAAATGTACAAAAGTTCTGTTGAATCATTATTTTCAACAGTCCACTTACAATTGTCCACTCGTAGCTTTTCAATCATCTTCTCAATCTTAAGACGAGATTCTTCACTCCGCTGTAACTGTGACTGCAGTTTGTTGACATCCAGCAACGATCCGTTGAACATAACAAACCCTAAAATATCAAAAATTTCACATCAATCATAGCTGTAATTGAAACTACACGCAATAAGTATTTTATTTGCATTGGGTAGAAACAAATATTTTTTAAGTATTAAAGCTTGTATATCCAATGAAGATTTTTTTGGTTATTATATTTTACATTATTTGTTGTTATCTTACCTACCATTATGTCTACCAGTTCTCCTAAATAAAAGATTGTGGCCTGGTACATCATGCTCTGCAGTAAAGAAAAATAAAAGTTTTTACTTTCTCCCCCTATACCTAGTAGAAAGTATTGTTTTAGTCCAAATTTTCTAGTTTAAGTTTTGGGTCCCCCTGAACCCAAAAAATTGGTTTTCGAAGTGATGTCTGTATGTGTATGTCCGTACGTATGGGTGTGTACAGAAACAGGAAGGTGCTTTATTTGAGGTGTCCCATAAAATAAAAAATATCAAATTTTAACATTGCACGTGATTCCGATTAAAGTTTAATATGTTATAGACCTTTCAACTCCAAACAAAACCGGTACAACTCCCATCGCAAAAAAATTACAGTTCAAAAGTTATTGTAATTTTTGTAATTTTCCCCATAAAATATAATTTACCCTCACATCTGTCCCAGGTTTTTGACAAGCTAATGGGAGAAAGTTTGTGTCAAATTGCTGATACCGTTTATTTGATCTGTTATACTAGAGGCAATAAATTTTAATTCAGATACCTGGATTTAATTTCTAAAAACTAAGTACATTTTTTAATGTCAATGTGAACTTTCTGTTTGTTTTGAATTGATAAAAATCAAATAAACTGTATTATTCCTGTGCCCTCATAAAAATCTGTGACTTGAAATTAAAATCAAAGACTTGTCAGGGACCTTCCTGCTAGTTTCATGATTGTTTGGAAAGTTTTGTTTCCAAGGACTTACCACTTGGAAGGGCTTTATTGTCATCCATTTTCTCCGACCCTCCTTTCCTGATACGCTTGTTTGAAGTGCTGTCATCGTCAAAGACCGGCAGCAATCTCTTGTTCCCTGCGTGAAAAAAATGTATTCATAAAACAAATTTTAACAAAAATATTTTAATGTGTATACAATTCACAAACTGGACATGGCTTAAATCCAGGATATAATTTTGTGACTGATTTCAAGAATCGATTAACGTGTAGTATCATTTTGATTTTCAGCCAGTAGCACAAACTAGACGAGTAGTTTAAAAATAAAAAAAAACATTGCTTTGTGCTAATTGATTAAAAAAATATTAAACGAGTAAAGATTTATGAAAATTATTGTATTTCAGCACTGAGGTTAATACCAAATGTACCACATCATAGTTTGGCTATAAATTAAAATTAAGATATGAATGTATAATTTCTATTTTTCATTTCTATTAAGGCCTAGTTGGCCCAATCAGTTGACCGCCAACAAAAACACCATTCATATTGACTATAATTATTGACTATTGGAGACTGAAGAAGACTTTCCTCCCATCTATATGGTCCAGCTGTTGCCAATTTTTTACTAAAAAAGAACGCAGTTGTGTGAACCAGACACAGATGTGCTATTGTCTAAAAGGTCAATTTCTACCTTATTTTTTGTTGCTTATCAAGTTGATGGGTCCTAACAGTTGCTATAGCTCACAATAAGTAGTTCCATCAGTTTGACTTGGTAAAAAGTTTGTGTGTTGCACAGAAATTAGTAGGGGTGGACGGGTCCCGAAATTTCGGGAATTTTTCGGGAAAAGAATATTCCCGATTATCGGGACGGGATTACATTTGACTCGGGAATTTTTCGGGACGGGATTTGGTCCGATCGTCGGCGATTATTTCCGCTTCACGAGTGCCGATAACGCCATTATTGCGAGCGATAGGTCCGCGAACGCAGGAGACGAAGTCATTTCGACGATTACGACGTGACCGCGGAGTCATAACGACGATCGCGCCGTGGCCGCGATTATTGGACCGACGATCGCACCGTGACCGCGAGTCATAACGACGATCGGGCTGTGACCGCGGAGTCATACCGACGATCACGCATCGAGGTAGACTTCTGGAGTGATCGCTTAATGGGGCAAAAACGGTCCGTGCTGGAAAGCGGTGGTAGGCAAGAACGAATTCGGGCGTATTTCAGTATCGTGCGCGCTGCAGTTTACTCGCTGTTGTAGCTCAACGGAAAAGCTCCAGTCAAATAAAACTTATATATTCTTAATCTACATAAACATCGGATTCTGACAGTATAAATATCTTTTATTGTAATAATTATTTCGAATTTTAATAATTGAAAATATAGAAGACTTACCAGAGACTGACATGGAAAAGTCACTAAGGGAGGAAAATTTTTATTTTTGGGTTACAAACAAACTTCTAGCGGGAAAGTTGTAGCCAATGAGTTGATCTTAACTTTCAAATCAACCAATTTGTGATAAAATGATTGCGTCATTATTAAATCGTTTGGAAACGAGCGTGGGACGGTACCGCGCCGCCACCGCGCGGCCACTCCCGGAGTACCCGCTCCCGGTTGTGTAGCTTTGTCGATATGCATTTTCAGAAAACAATCTAGAACGTTTATTAATAAGTATTTGTATAGGATCTTATCGAAAATACATACTTTCCTTTCCACATGTACTTTAGGAGTAAAATTAACAATCAAGTTTAAGATTAAATTTATAAATTTGTTTTCAGCTATACAAACGACCAATGTTCATTCAAATCAAATTGATTATTTGCCATACTTTAAAAACAAGAAGAATATTTGGAGATTTTAACGGGTAAATTTCATGAATGACAACCCGAAATCTGGGATTTTTCGTGAATGCAGTGGTAGCACTGCCAGGCATTGATAGGATCGAGATGTTTTTTGTTTGTTTACGAGCAGCGCACACTTGAGTTGGGCGTCTTATCATCTCCGCCATCGTTTGTTGATATTTTAATGCACTGGACTTTCAGTTTTAAAATGTTCCCAATGTTCCAAGATGGTAACATCCTGTGCAGCTATTAATTGTACAAATAGGCAAGCAAAGGGTACGACCATCGGATTCCACAGGTAAATAAATACAAAGTTTTCGGATATATTGTTAAAAATTATAGCTTTAATGTCTTGAATAATATTTCAAGTGTTTTTGAAACAAATTCCTATTTACTTAATTTAAATTATAGTAGATTGGAAATAATAAGCGTTAATAGCAAATTTTGACCATTACAACGCCCGGCTGTCCCTCGAAAATTGTGCAATCCAAACGGAAGATTTTTATTTTGTTTATTTTTATTATTGTTGTTTTAAGACCAGCTCAAGTAATAATCTACTTGCAATTAATGTAGCTTTTTCAAAATTTATACTACTTTTCCCGAGTTTAAGGAGTTTCACAGATTGTAAGTGCATTTTTTTTCAGATTCCCACAAGACAAAGAACTGCGTAAGAAATGGATTCTCGCAGTTAGGAGGAAAAATTTTAAACCTACAGAAGCTTGGTAGTTTATTACAAAGCAATTGGTAGTTTATTTTTAAAGGTAATTGGCCATCACAAAGCCAGGGAAGCTACAAGTGCTTCCAACTTGCCTAATCTTGGGTTAAGACAAAAATTAACCAAACTGATTTTGTTTAGAAATGTTTAGGATTTAAGATCTAAAAATCTAGACATAAATGTTATTAAGGTGTTAATGTTTGTATATAATGTTTTTTTTATCTTATTTGAGTTCAAATAGATAATGTATATTTAATAATAATAAATTATTTTGATTCGTTGAAAGTGTTCTTATTGCCTTTTATTTCATTTTAATTTATAAACATGAGACCAATCTCTAATTATTACAGTAATTGGACTGTTATGACCCTCTATCCAAATTTATTTCAAAAGCCAAAAAATGTTTAAAAATATTATACAAATGTGTTAGGGAAATATTCCAATTTGTTTTTAATAAAATAAAATAAAACATGTCACTGACAAGAAAATTACACTAAAAGTTGAAGTTAATCGTGTTTTAAAAATATACCTGATGTGAAAGTAAGAATGAAATTAATTCCGAAAGAACCACAATCTATTAGAGAATACAATTCAATCGTTCATTTGTCCTAAAAAAATCATGTCGTCTGGAAACAAAATAAAAGTAGGCGTGCGTCGCGATTTTCCCTATCCCGCCCATCTTAGCGCTGGCGTTCTTGCCTACCACGGGCTGCTCACAGCTACTCGCGGCCGGACCGAAAAACGGTTCGCTTCAACACGGGCGCGATCACTCCAGAAGTCTACCTCGATGCGATCACGCCGTGACCGCGAGTCATACAGACGATAGCGCCGTGACCACGAGTCATACCGACGATCACGCCGTGACCGCGAGTCATACCGACGATCGCCCTGTGACCGCGGAGTCCTACCGACGATCGCGCCGTTACCGCGGTGTCATACTGACGATCATGCCGTGATGGCGAGTCATACTGACGATCACGACGTGACCGCGGAGTCCTACCGACGTTCGCGCCGTTACCGCGGAGTCATACCGACAATCTTGCCGTGACCGCGGAGTCCTACGGACGATCACGACGTGACCGTGGAGTCCTACTGACGATCACGACGTGACCGTGGAGTCATGCTGACGATCGCGCCGTGACCGTGGAGTCCTACCGACGATCACGACGTGACCGTGGAGTCATGCTGACGATCGAGCCGTGATCACGAGTCATACCGACGATCATGCCGTGACCGCGAGTCATACCGACGATAAGCCCGTGACCGCGGAGTCATACCGACGATCGCGCCGTGACCGCGAGTCATGACGACGATCGCGCCGTGACCGCGAGTCATGACGACGATCGCGCCGTGACCATCGAGTCACAAGTTTCTATAGGTACCTGTAAATTGTTACCCATTTTTTGGTTTTTATAGATCAGTGCCACAAATGGTAAAAATTGATTTCGTATGTCTTTTTTGGTAACTGCAATACAGTACTTTCTTTTTATGCACAGAAAAAAATCCCGTCCCAAAAATCGGGAAGGAAATAAAAATCCCGTCCCGTCCCGTCCCGAACTAAAAATTCAATCCCGTCCATCCCTAGAAATTAGTAATTTAGATCAGCACAATCTGTCGGAAGCTCACATCAACTACGATGATTTTGATTAAAAATCTGGCTAAAAATTTAACATGGGGATGGGATGTCTAATAGAACACACAAATAGAACATTTGTCTTACCAAATGCCAAATTGACCATCTCTTCTGCAGTGGGAGATGGAGTCTCGGCTGGCTTATTGGCGACTTCGTCTTTAGGTTTATCCGTTAGTTTTCTGTAATGCAAAGAGTCCCGGGAAACCACTTTCTGTACTAGCTTTTTTACCTGTAAATACATAGACACTGTATGAGAAATTGTACATTTGTATCTTGATTTTGTAAAGAAGCAAGGTCTCCTCCAATTAATTTATTAAAAAATAATAACTCAAGATCAAAGATCAACAACTTTAATAAGCAATATTTACTTTTTGGTAGCTTAAAAGTAATTTTATTATTCAGGTAGAAGAAATCCAAGGACAAAATTTCCTGTGAGGGAGAAGTGAATAAGGAATTAAGTGTGTAAGGTACACAAATAATTTTAATAAGCACATCCTACAAGAGAATACCACACATTTTTTTCATTCCAAACATTTTCACACTTTAAACTTCTACTTAGACCAATCTAAAATCTAAGCAATTTCAAAACAGGATTCAGAACATATTTTTATATCTAACAGTAATTCTTGAATTATTGAGACTACAAAATTACAGCCAAAATTAATTCTGAAAAAGCTGAAACCAACCTGAGCTCTAGACAAGTTGAGTCCCAGAGTGAACATGAGTTCTTCAATGTCCTTGTCAAAAATGTAGCCGCAGTGAGTCTGATCAAAGTACACAAACGACAACAACAGGTAAGGGTCAACTGTTGTCAGCTTCACTTTATCTTTTTTCTTCTTCTCAGAATCTTTTTTGTCTTTCTTATCATCATCCTACAAACACACAGTACATCAGTAAGTTATGCACAGTACAAAATTATTAGGCCTACTTGAGAAAATTATTTAAACATCTATATTGCTACCAATTAGCAAATTCATAGTCTTCTTGCTCCCTTTAGGTCATCACTTAGAATTTGTAAACAACTAGATGAGTTCCCTAGACGCTGCTCATTACTATTACTTCCATGCTTACAAATGCCAATATTTTTATCTTTCCGAAAGAGGTATCGGAACACCGTTTTGCCGTAAAACGTACACTGCCTATAACCTATAATGCGTTACTAAGATGATGAAGTAAAAAGAAGCCTAGAACTTAAAGAAAATATATTTTACATAGTTATTTCTTAAATGTTACAAGCAAAAAATTTTAAATGAAATATTTTGAATCAAAAATATACCATACATTTACACAATAAAATAAAATATCATGATATTTGAAAACTAAACTTCATTCAATCTTATAATTTAAGAAGGCATCTTAATAGGCAAAAAGAAGTAGAAAAAAAGTAAGAGGGCAAAATCTTAACATATTTTAACTGAATGTTGCCAAGTAAAGTAAAATTAAAAAATAAAATCTAAAAACTATTGTTGACAACCGTAAAAGGTCACCTGCCTCACAACAGACACTAACAGTTTTATATTGTTTTAGTAAAGATCTACCAGCCGACCTGTGCGAAGCATGCACACTGAGTTCTCCTCAAATCCCACTTATTGAGGTACACAACATACAGCCTTCAGGAATAGATGTGGGTCCACATTTTAGATAATTAACCTTTTCAAAATATAATGTTAAGTTATTTACATGTTTACAGGACCTATTTTAACACTATGTTTTGAAGTAATAATATGGCCATTTACGATTTTTGTTTTGATGGCTTTGTTTTTACAGACATAGTTTTCACTGAAAAAGCGCATCCTTGACAAAGCCACAAAAACTGAATGTGTAAAAAAACAGGGTCTGGCACGTGCAATCTTCCCTTTGTTAGCGTCTGTCCATATGCCTTATTTAATGTCATGGCAAAGGTAACTTTTAAGGGAAATTCCTTCTTTAGTCAGTTAAGTTTGAAAGGATTACGGAATATTGTCTAATATGACAGTTTGACCGGAGTCAGCCAACTTCGCTTCGCTTTGATAGTGTAGGTGCTCGAGTGAGCTTTAACCAATCTTAGACCATGCTTAGGTTTCTCATCAAAATGATAATAGAGCATGGGTTTTATCATGGGTTTAAGAGGTAATGAACCCAAAGAGCTTAATGCGTCCAAAAAAACTATAATGGATACAACAGAGCGTTCTTCTACTTCCTTGGTTATAAAATAACTTGTTCTTAGTCACATCCTTTGGAGATAAGCGTATGGTTCTCATCGCTGAGTGTGGAAGCGGATATGCCGACATTCCTAAAATGTGGCGGTTAAACTGAACTGCAAGGCAAAGCAAGGCCGGTTAAAACAAACTAACATTTACGATTGAGGGCAAACAATCCGATTATCGGTTAATGCGAGGTCGGTTAAGAGGGAATCTACTGTAGTACAGTACTAAACTTGGATTTTGAACAAACATAAATATTTAAATAATACAAAATAAAGAAAATTAACACGGTATTGTAAATTTAGGAGTAGGCCTATTTACATTTTTGTATTCAAATAAAAAAGTTTTTACTCAAGAAATTCATTGTGTTTCTAAATATAATTAACTTGACTAAAAATAGTTTTTAAACTTACATCACTTCCATCTTCATCCTCTACACTATTTTTATCATCCTTCTTGTCATCTTTTTTCTCATCAGAATCCTTTTTGTCTTTGTCCTTCTTATCCTTTTTGTCCTGCAATGTGTAAAAATCATTGTGATTAAAATATAAAAAGAATAGTTATTGAGTTCAGCTAAACAACTAGTAATAGTAATAACAAATGATGAGTAGGTATTTCACACTTTAATTACACCGTATCCGAGTTCTCGCTTACTTTATCCTCTTTTTCTTCTTTGGGCTTCTCAGGCGCCTCAACCAATGCTTTGTAAATGCGGAATCCAAAATCTCTCATCAGCATTTCATTGAAGAGTTCAGCAAAAAGAGATACTTCAAAAGAGTGCTCCTGCAACAGACAAAATATATTTCAGGTTTCAGGCTACATTAAAACAAAAAAAACAACTGATCAAAATACAGTTGGCAATTGATAATCGGACACATGACAGTTTATCAAACTAAAGAATCTGATGTTGCAGTGAGTGAGCCATCGGCTAAGGTCATTGTAACTTAATACTTAAAATTGATCGTGTTGAGACAGGAATCTCGTATCTTTGGGGTTGTAGTTTCCAGCAAGTGGGAGGAGACAAAAAGCTAAATAAACTCATGCTTTGAACTTGATAAACCTATTTTTAAATAATGCTGAAAAAATAACTAGGCCTAATTTAAATCCGTCAAAGTTAAGGAGTAAAAATAAGGACTTAACCTATAAATAATTTTAGAACATTTATTTTATTAGCAGCTGTTGAAAGTAAATCAATGGTGTTTTAAGTCTAGGACATCAAGAGTCAACAGTAATTCAACTTATTGTGACATCAAATTATAAAGAATGAAATATGCCTTCTAAATGCTTCTTTATAATATTATATTAGTAAGATTATTGGAAAGGTTTGCCATTCTAAAAGCCAAGCTTAATATATTGCTTTTGCATGGAATAAAGTCAACTCAGGGTGAAATTCATAATATAAAAATAAATATAATACTTCTGCAGGTGATAAAGGTTTTACTTATGAAATTTAAAATTGAGAATGTCATCCTTCTATTTATGTAGAATTCACAACTGAGGTAAAATTCATCAACATTTTCCAATGATTTTGGAGACTTGGCAAAACTGACAGTTCATAAAGGGTGCGCCAAAAAAACCTGACGGTTTCTGTTTTGTAATAAGTCAGCTGTTGTACTAGCTAGAGACCTCATTTTTGTAGTGAACGATTGCTTATGTTATGCCATTTTTAGGTCATGTTTGGTAAAACATCACATCGTCGAAAGAAAGTTACTGTCTAGTGTGGTGTGGTACGGTTTGGAGTCATCGGACCATATGTTTTTGAGGACGAAAGTGGGAACACCCCCCCCCCCCCCCCCCCCCGTCACTGTAAACTAAGAACGCTATGTGGAAATACTGAGCGGGTTTTTGGTTCCACAACTGCGAATGTTAGGAGGGATAGCCATGACAAACACATGGTTTCAACAGGACGGCGCAACTTGTCATACAGCCAATTATTCAATGACAGTTTTGCGTGAACTCTTTCCCGGTAATGTCATCGGTTTGGTGATGTGCTGTGGTCTGATTGATCCCCATACTTGATTTTGTGTGACTGTTGGCTATGGGGACATTTAAAAAGCATTGTTTGTTTAGAAATTTCAAACCATCCCTGAACCCGAGCAGTGTATCCGGGAAGAATTTGCTTCTACTCATCAGGCGAAGATTACTGCAAATATGAAAAAATAAAATAAAATGGGAAGCCTGCGTTTAAGGGAAGTTCATCACCTAAGTGATATAATTTTTCATAAATGAAAATGGCATAGTAGTGTGTACAATATAACATTATTTAATATATATAATTGTATTTTGTTCTTGAGTTATTTAGTATTAAAAACGGTCAGGTTATTTTGGCGCACCCTTTTACCTTGGAGTCCTCAGGCCTGTAGTCCAGCAGTAATGACAGTGACATGACAGTGCAGTCAAACTTTCCAGACTTAGCAGTCCGAGAGGGATGAACAACTATGTGGCTCTTCTCAGGCAAAGTGTATCTCTTCTCCAACAACTGTTTGTCCTTTTCATCCAACTTCTTTTTCTCCTCCTCCTGCAATATGACTTGCATTAAAAGTTGAAACAATCTAGATTAGTTACTTTCTAATTTTACTTTTTAGTACATATATCACATGGATTTCAATTATTGCGGATTCAACTGCGCATTTTAGTACAGTTTTCACAATTACTATTACCTTGTAATTGTAAAATCCAGCCTTTATATTCACAGAGATAAATTACCAAGAGGACCTTCATTTCTTACAAGTACGAATAAAAGGAAGAGGAGTGATGATTAAAATTTTAAAAATTACAATTAGTCTTTTGTGCTGTCAAAGTATTGCAGTTGACAACATACACGCTTCAAAATATTCAATTGCTTTGAAGAGATTGTTGTTAGTTGTAACACTGAGTTGGCTAAAATATAGTGTGATGTTGTGTATAAACACTTACTTGTCCTTTCCATTTTGTTTTGTGAAGAAATAAACTATATTTTCATTGAAGTCATAAATTATACAAATGTGTTCATTGTTTGATCTTGACACATGTAAAAACGAGTTCATACTTATCAAATTTCCAGTTAATTTTATAGTTCATCCCATTCCATGTTCTTCATGAATAAAGATTAATTGTTATTATTTTGACTTGTAGACAGCAAAATTAATAATATAACATCAGTATGATAGTTTACTTTCAAAACGGAGCCTTTCATGTGGGAATAATGTGTTATTGAATATCATTTTAAACACTCCATCATCAAATAAATAATCAATAGCATGCATATTGAATGAAATCGTCACCTAAGTTGGCTTCTCCTTAGATCAATCCATTGTTTTACGCACCTCTTTCTTCTTCTTTTCTGCTTCCTCTTTTTCATCTTTTTCGATTTTGGCTGATTTCCCTTCCTTAGCAGCTTTTTCCTCTTCTTCCTTATCCTGCTCCATCTTCAGAACCTTGGTTAGTCGGGCCGTCAGTTGTGACTTGAGTCCTTTAGAAGACAAGTTGCGAGCTTCGAGCTCCTCACGGAGTTCGTTCACCTATCATTTCTCATTGATAAATAACCAATTTTGTTCAAAACAATCATTCTATAACAACCGTGAATGGTGAAATTTGTTTTGATTTTACTTGTTTGTTTAAGATTTTTGTTCAAGGTCAAGTGGTCTTCAAATTATAACTTTTGTCAAGAATGAATGCAGTAAAAATATGTTTCCTTAAAAGGATTTTTTTTTATCTTCTGAAATTGAGATTTATGAACAAACAAATCTGCTTTCATTCTTTGAAATGCATAAATTTAGCACAATAAATTTTAGAAGTGTCTACAAAAACTTCGGGGCAATGGGTCGATTCCAGAAATTTCAATTCCAATTTTAATTCTTTAAAATCGATTCTCAATTCCAATTCCATTATGTTACAAACATGAATAGGCCCCGCGGGAACGGAACTTCATCATCACTTTCGCGACTGCGGCAAAATCATAAACATCTCCTAAGGTCAGGTGGACATCAGCATTGTCTCCCGCGGTCATAGAAACTAACAAAATCATTGTCTTCGATGATCGAGGCAAAATTAACATCTCCCATAGACGTGTAGACATTGTCATTGTCTCCCGCAGTACCGGATCATTGTCATCGCCTTCCGTGATGGCGGCAAAATTTGTATTATCTCCCGTGGCCATGTAGATATCATCGTCTCTTGCAGACAAAGATATGTCATAGTAAATCGTGGGAATTTTCCGATCTTGCGCACTTTGCAGACATGTCATGTATTGGTTTCAGAATCGACTGTGAGTAGTCGATTTTCTATTCCAATTTTAAAGCCGAGAATCAGTGGAAACGAGAATCGACTTTTGGAATCAACCCACCCCTAGTTTACGTATACCTTATTTATCTCACCTTCATCACTTTGGGGTCCAACTGAGAGTAATGGCTAGGCTCCTTTTTCTGCACTTCAGTAGTGCTCGTATCCTGTAAACCCAACAGAACAAACCCAATTAAACAAACTCGATCCACAGCTGAGTCACCTAAAATATACTGTACAATAACATTTAAAGGAAAAACTGTGAAAAATCTATCGATAACTCATTCTCCTCCATTGAAAATCCGAAAGAACGGATCACTTGGAACTAAAATGAAGCTCTTCGAAGAAATCCGGATGGATCCTATTCTAAAATCTAACATTACAATTATGCAGTGCCTTTTCATCAGCATCAGTCTCTTCGTCCTGGTTGAGCAGCCGGTCCAGTTGTTTCTTATAGTTGAGGTGGAGTCCGTCCCACTCTAGCCGCGTAGGCTGACAGTTCCACACATCTGGCAGATAAAGTACCACCGTTTCAACTCTCGCAGGAATCGTCTTGCCCTTGTGCACCGACTCTGCCCGGTGGTAGTAAATCTCCACAAAACGATACCTGAAAAATACAGATCTAATGGGAAACCGTCGTTTGTTCTTGTGTAAACAACAGCTGTTGAGTCCAACATCGAGGAAGAAATACAGGATAGCGTTTACCTCTAGGTATACTCCTTGCAGACACCGGACTGACTCCAGTCATTGGTGATTATGCATGTGCGACCAGCGTAGCCAGCGTCTTTCTGGGTAGATGAAAAAACCAATTTTTTTTCATGAAGGTTAAAACTTAAAATAAACAAGGAAATAATATGAGGGTTAAAATAAAAGAGACGAGTTAGGGTCTAACTTTAACTTTAGTCAATAGATTTAGTGAAATTCCGCTGAAAAATAAACATTCTTTTAGCTTAATGTACTCAGGATGCAGCTTGTTACCTTGAGGTTATTCTAAAACAAACTAATACACCACTGTGCCTGTTTGTTTCTGAATAAAAAAAACTGCTCTGCTGCAAATGTGGACATCTCTTGCTAATGGTATTCACTGCCAGACCAAAGGTAATTAACAGTGCTATCTCCAGATGCTGTGGAAATTCCTAACAAGTGTAACAGTTGCAGGTGCAAGATATACACAAGACATAATGATTCAAGATTTCCCTAGATTATTTCATTAGGAACAGATTATAAAATAAACTAACAGACTATAATATAATAGTATAATAGACTATAAGTCTATAAGGTTCTAGCCCACCCAGTTTCTTTTGAAAACAATTTATCCAGCCAAGGTCTAACATAAAGATTCCAGTAAGACTAGACCCTTGGACTAAAAAGTAAAGATGGACAGGTCTCTAAATTTTGAGAAATTTTAAAATCTCTGTCTCTGAGACAAGATTTTTACACTGGCCAAAGTTGCGCCCAGACGCACACTACCACTATTCCTCATTATGTATCAATATATAGACGTCTTTGTTTCAACCAAGTCTGAGTGAGTCAATTGTTTCCCCGCTATCTGTCAACACCACTCTACGATGACTGCTATCATCTACCTCTCCTTAATGCTGCTCTTGGACTTGCTTTGGACTTCCCTGGACACCAGCAAGACTTCTGCATATGTATTAGTACCGGTAGCTTCACAAGCTTAATTAATTAAATTTAATAATTTAATTTTAAAATTTAAATTGCTAGGCCGCTAGTACCAAACACTCACACAAACTGTTCAAAATGCACTGGCGTAGTAAGATGCACAACAAAATGGGCGATCCGAAAAAAAGTTATATCAAAATGACGTACAAAACTGGCACTACAATAGACAATTTTCTTTATTCATCCAAGTACATTGTACAATTAATTGAATAGTGTCAGCAATTACTATTCTAATGATACATTTTAAATATTGGTTTATTTAAGATGGAGGTTAAGAAAGTAATTCAGCGATTAAGTTACTTTGTTAATTAAGTATACTCTTAATTTAATTATTTTTTTTCTTTTTTAATATTTTCTGGAATTATTTTTAACCCTCCGAGTGTCCATAGTTTAGGCCTTAATGTCCACCTATTTTTGGCGCATTTGCAAGGTTTTATTAAAACGGATCTGAGAAGCTTAAAACAATGTTAATTCTAATGTTCTATATACCATTTTGTTTGGAAAATCATGGGCTTCAATATTATATATAAAACATAAGGAACATTTTTTCAAAAAAAAAAAAAGTTTAGGTAAAAAAAATATAATTTTGAAAATTTTCAAAAAAAAAATAAGTTTGCGCTCAATGAAATTGTATAAATTATAGGCCTATAAATATTTCAAAATAGCCACTTTGTTCTAAATTTTATGAGGATTACAAATATATAATAATATAAGGAAGTAGATTTGCAAATAAATAAGTTATGGGCAAAAAACTGATTTCAGTATATAGCGTTTAGCTAAGAATGCATAGCCTAACCATAGCTAGGAATCTGGCTGATAATTTACATCAATATCACTACCTACTTCTTCAGGATCATCAACCAGCACTTCAAAACCACTTAAATCTTCTTATAATGCACCACGTATATCACTACTTTTGATTTTTAACACTAAAAAAATGATAAACGTAATAAAACACATCAGTCATCGGTCCGGGGGAACCTAGCTGTTTACAAATACACGCACGTCAGCTGTCTGCTACAATATTTTCGGAACTAAAATGAATAGCGCTTAGAGACAGACCTCTGGAGAAAGCTTAGAATATTACGGAAAGAACGATACCTAACTCGATCCAGTTCAATCCGATTCAGTCAGTCATAGAGCCTTCGCCGTAAACGATGTTTGTGCGTCTTAAACTAGACGCGTGACCCTACACAAAGTGTGTTGTGCGTCGATTTTTTGACGTGTGACCCTCGGAGGGTTAAAAACTTTTCACTAGCATATGTTGGTTTTTTTTATGGTTTCAGTGTGTGTTGATTTTGCCTTTAGAGTTCTTTTTTCTGGTGTTACAATGATGTGAAGGTTCGTGGGGACAGGAATTTTGTTTTTGCCCATAAAATGATGTCAAGAACAAAGGCTATTAGCAATAAACCGTTAGTATTTTTAACCGTCTGAAATGATTTTTGACTGAATCATCTGGATTTCTATTTCAGCATTAAGGTCGATTCACACACATCAGTTACGGCACGTCACAGTAAAGTCACTTCAGGCACGTCACAGTTAACAAAAATATTCTTTGATGGATTTTCTATTGCGCTATCTACACTCATCCGTTGTAGTCCCGTCAGTCTCTCTGCCGGCATCCGTCAGTCAATTTCAGATTTCTTTTCACCGATATCTTTTGATTGCTCGGACGCCTGACGGAACTGTTTGAGGTTAGAAAATAGTTGTATTGTTATTTAAATGGTTGCGTTTGTATTTTGAGTACTGTTTGTAACAATTAACACGATGGACAATGATAATTTAATAGAATATAGGTAGGCCTATATAATTTTAAATTTTTGACTGTAAATTACTGTAAATATTAGAGACGGAAGACTGACTGAAACCAACTGACGGACAGTTGACTGAGAAATTGCGGATGCAACTGTGACTGGACTGTAACTGGGCTGCAACTGGACTGTAACGGAACTGTGACTGGACTGATGTGTGTGAATCGACCTTTAGGCCTACTCTTATCAGGCCTAGAAAATTTGTGCATGACTTTGGATCAATTATGTGGATTTCAAACACTATCATTGGATCTGTTTGACCCCTATGTTATGGAGTTGTAAATGTAAATGGTTTTTCATGATTTAATGTTAATTTGTGATACATTAAGTAATCTCCAAGGTCACACAGCAATAATAACATTGCTCGTCAAATGCTAGGCTCACACTGACTGTTTCAGTTTCAATTATGGGAGGGGTTGGCCTTGACCGCACAGCCCTAGGCACACATCTGGCCCGGTTTAGTTCAACCGCTCAGAACATAAGACCGCTGTGTTCAACCGCTGTATAGTGTACATAAGACAGAAAAATATAAAACACTGAATACTAGTTAGGGTACCTTAACAGAAAGAATACGATTGAAATTGTTTCACTAACCAGCGTGAGCAGTTGCTCAAATCCACCCCGGTGAGAGCTTTGCAAGTGCGGGTGGCAGTTTTGATGAGCACCGTCGGGTCAGAGGCGGGGTTGGCTCCATCCAGTGAAGGGCTCCAGGGACCACCAATAGCCATGGTCTCGTTCTTGCCTCTGAGTCCCACCAAAAAGTTGATAAGTCGAGTGGGATGAACAAAGTCTCGATCATCGTAACTACCCTCTTTCTCCCGGTCCTCAGCCATACCACAAGACCTGCGGTAGATCTCATCTATCTCTGGCATGCTTAGCAGCATCACCTGTTAGAACAAAAAGAGTTTTAATTCTAAAACTTACTAAGAGATTTGTCAAGGTTGATTTTTATTACACATTGGAAGGGGCTTAGTTTCACCTTTTTTTAGTTCAAAAACTTCTTCAATTGAAATTTTTCCCTCAGCCCTTAGAACTACCATTTGTAACGAATTGATAACCAAAGTAATACAAACATAATTTTGGATGGTTTGATTTTTATCAAACATTAATGTGTTGAACGATAGATTAAGATTAACAAGTTTTAAGTTTTATGTATTTGTGTAGGTAGTGTCAATTTGTTTACTGACCCCTTGGTGTTTGAACTATCCAAGTTTTTTTTTTTTAATCTGTGCTGACCTTTTTATTCATCAGCTAGCATTACACCAGAAAGGTACAAAAGAAACAAGTGATGTTCTGTCACACTACCAACACTACAGTAGACGATTCTATGATCTATGCACACAAAGATAAGCTCATAAAATGTATCAAGGAACCAAGAACTACAAGTAGGAGGATGTTGTACTGTTTAATCAACCTACGTATTCATTTGGCATGTCTTATTTCTTCATACCATAGGCTATTAAGTTTGCTTCTTTCTTTGCTCCCAATAGAATTTTGTTATTTTACATGATATTTGATCAAATATCAGGAGTACTAACTGCTGAAACATAACTCTCCTATTTAACAACATCAAGTTAGGTAAACCTACCAATCAGATGTTCTCCTTTAATTTCATTTCCAGTGTATCCCTCGTCTAATTAACTCTACTGAATACTACAATTTTTTACACTTCAACATAAAAAATAGTTATTTAAACGTATTTATCTTTTTGGTCAAAGTCACTATTTTTCATTACTAACCCCCTAAATAATGTAATGTAAAATTAAAATAAGTTGATGATGAAAATGACTTTACCTTAGCAGAGAAGAGATAATCAGCGTCTGGAGGGTCCAGTACAGCATCATTCTCTATCACAGGTTCAACATCCTTATGCATCACATGGAAAACGCAAGGTCGCACACTCAGGGATCTATGAGGTGGGAAAACTTCAACCCACTTGAAGGAACTCACAAAGAAGTCTGAAGGAACATACAGGTTGGTGTAGCGTTTCTTGATCTCTAGAACGTCTGCTTCAGGCCTGGTGACAGTATGTAACTTATAATAACAAGTGAAAATGTTAGTAGAAATGTCTGTTAATTGGTTTTTGATTAAATATATCTAGGTGCCCCTGATCAAGAATGAAAGTAGGTACTAAATTAAATTAACAAATAGGCCTAATATAATGAGTTCTAACATATCTTAAACGGTTGTATATGCTAGAAGAAATTAAAAATTTGAAAAGTTTTGAAAATAATAAATTGCTTTTAAGAAGAAATAATAGCCTAATTAGGTTATTTTGTTATTTAAATAATAAACATTTAGTTTGATAAAACTCATATGAATGGCAAAATCAGATATTTTTTTGTAGACATAGAAAACAAAACAAATTATGAAAATGTTATAAAATACAGTACAATGAGAAATTCTATGATTGAGAAACTTGGATTTTTGATTAATTTAAAGGGATCCTTTTGGGGATGCAAATAATAGCTTTGATTAGGAGGGACTAAAACTAATATTTCCACAAAGCTCAAACTTAAAATGTCAATGAAAATAATAATTAGGTACTAAATATTGGCATAATAGAAGGTACAGTTAAAATACAGCAATTTTTGGTGCCATTATACATTGCAGGGTTGCCTCTCTTGGTTAGGGAAAAATCGAGATCCCCCCCATCATAAATATAAGCATAAATGGAATGAAATTAAATGAAAAATGAAATGAAAATGCTTCTTTATTGAGGCGAACTTCAGTTAACCTCTAAAAAACCAATAATAACAACAAAACAATAACAAAAAATACAATAAAGTTTGTAACATAACTACTAATAAAATATGTTAACTTATAACATGGGCACAAGACACCGAAATCGGGACGGGTGGGAACACTGGTCCATTGTATCAAGCTCCTAGTTACAACTTACATGTCAAGGGCAATCTTGGGTATCTGAACCATATATCTAGGAACCACTCGAGCCTTCTTCCTCCTCGGCGTTTTGCTGCGCCTCCTAGGGCTCTTGGCACGCTCTTTCTCCTTCTCTTTTTCCTTTTCTTTTTCTTTATCGTCCCTAAAAAACATGGATGAATATTAAAAATTAACAATTTTCTATCTAGAAAATATCAGGGAAATTTTAGCTGGTTAGTACGGTATTGATAAATTCGTTCTACCTGAAGAACAACATTAATAAAAGGACATTTTAAAGCTTTTGAATACCATTTTATTCTCACAGCTACAATGATTTTGAGGACAAAAGGAAATAGTACAAGCTGAGACAATGTTGACATTACAGTTTGACCAAAAAGGTAACTTAATGCTGAGCTTATAAACAACACTATGCTGCCTAGGTCCCTGACAATGTTGTCCCCTGGACATGAAATGATTATAAGTCTATTTGAAGTAGTTTGTATCCGTCAACATTAAGTTTAGAAACTGGGTTACACATACTATCACATTTGTAGCAATTAAAATTATTACTTTTGAGCCGCATACTAACAGTAACACACTACGCAAAAAACTGTAATAAAATAAAAACTAAGGAAACAAAAATTAAAATATAGTTATTTGTTGTTTACCTTGATCGTTGAGTTTGTACTCGTTCATTTTCTACTCGCTCATTTTGATCAATACTTCTTTGGTTATCCCTGCGTCTTTTTCTATCAAAGTCACTATCATCCCTTCTGTTTCGCTTGTTATTTCTATTTCTTCTATTGAAGTCGTTCACTGGGGAACTATTCATGTCATCGGCTGAAAAAAAAACAAAACCTGGTCAAACTCTATAAAGAAAAATTATCAGTAGATGCAGGAATAGGCTACAAGATAAAAGTATAAGCTTTAAATCTAGTTTACTTAGTCCTGCAAAAAAAACCTATTAAGTTATTAATTAAATTGAACTAAAAACAACTGATTTAGCAGCCAAAGGTATTTCTTTTGTGATACAAGCAAGTGACTTCTTTTTTAAATTTTTAATCTATTGCAAACCAACATTTGGCAATAAATACCAGTTTGGTTTGTAACTTTGTATGATGATAACTTTCTTTCACTAATGCTTATATAATAATAATGCTTATAAATCACTAAAAATCATGACTGTGATATCACCATACACCCTTGCATTGATTAACTATACTGAACAGAGTGAGCTTACAGGAGGAAAAGATTCTCTCTCTCACAACACTTGAAGAGCTACAAACTACCTTCTCCCAGCTCACCATAAAACTAAATACAGCAGAAAAACTACCTACATGGGACGAAAGGTCTTCAATAGCCTGCCCAATCACTTGAAGATCTTAAGAAATCAAGACCTGGAGAGGAAACCCAAATACTGACTCAATGGAACAACCATTCTACTCACCAAAGGAATTCTTTGATCAAAACCGTTAAGCAAGATGAAAATTCAAATTACAATCCATGTATGTGACAGTGACACTATTGTATTTCTTAAAGTAGGGATGGACGGGTCCCGAAAATTCGGGAAATTTTCGGGGAAAAAATATTCCCGATTTTCGGGACGGGATTACATTTGATTCGGGAAGTTTTCGGGACGGGGTATGATCCGATCGTCGGCGATTTTTTGCCGCTTAGCGAGTGACGATGACGCCGCGAGATCATGAGGCCGTGACCGCGGGTCATTTCGACGATCGTGCCGTGACCGCGAGTCTAACCGACAATCGCGCCGTGACCGCGATTCATACTGACGATCGCGCCGTGACCGCGAGTCATACTGACGATCACGCCGTGACCGCGGAATCATACCGACGATCGCCCCGTGCCCGCGGAGTCATACCGACGATCATGCCGTGACCGCGGAGTTATTCCGACAATTGTGCCATGACCGTGGAGTCATACCGACGATCACGCCATGACCGCGAGTCACAAGTTTCTATACCTGTAAATTTTTACCCATTTTTTTGTTTGTATAGATCAGTGCCACAAATGGTAAAAATTGATTTTCTTTGTCTTTTTAGGTAACTGCAATACTCAAGACTTGTTTTTATGCACAGGAAAAAATCCCGTCCCGTCCCGAAAATCGGGAAGGAAATAAAATTCCCACCGCGTCCCGTCCCGAACTAAAAATTGAATCCCGTCCATCCCTATCTTAAAGAAATCTCAATAAAGAAAATTGATCTATTGATTTTTAAATTTGAATCAATTAGTAATACAAGACGCTAAAGTTAAGTTTACTTTATACTTTATACTTTCTTATGAAATGGCGACCATACTATGTAGGTATTTTAAGCCAAGTATGAATGGAGATGAGTGTAGGATGAGTGGCGCGATCTTGTAGTCTTGTTAGTGACTAAGGCCGACATTCCTTAGACACAGCTGTTAATTAATAGCCCAAACAGCTAATGGCACAGCATCCGAACCACATTTTTTCCTTGGTATATACGAATTGGTCTAATTATCAGGATAGTACTGCGGATAGTAGTAGTACTCACTAGTGCGGACGTTAATCCACACCAGGGAGTACAATAATGCACTATGTATAACCGTATGACAAGAGATTATTGTTAAGATGGGTGTGTTCCTAGAAGGGTCTTAGACATCAAGGCGAGAGGGACTGGTTAGATCCCTAGTATATCGTAAAAATTGTACTTGTTTGAAACCCTTTCCATTAAAAAGTATTTGTAATTCCTTCATTGAAAATGCCATTGGCATAGACACAATAAGGATATGTACTCACAAGGAGGGGGGACGTTGTTATAGACAGGGCCGCTGGTAAAGCCCCGCCGGGTGGGCATGTTGCCCCCGTCTTGCCCTCGGTCCATGGGCAGCACCTGTATCCTGGTAGCGTTCCACTTGAAGGGCATGTTGGCATTGTACATAGCCTCCACCAACACCTTGTCTCCTACCTGGGGGTTGGAGCCCTTCACACAGCAACTGTAATACATCAAATTACATACAGTACACTCTTAATTGACCTGTGTGGTGAAAAATCAATAAATTAATCAGCAATTAGGCCTTTACCAAAGGCTTGTTGGTAGAAAATGTCAATGGCATAGACCTAAATAAACACAAATTAAAGTAAATAAAAAACCTAATGACCACTACTTTGGACGCATAACATCTATATATATAATACACTGAGCCGATTTTTGTGAACAGAACTCCTCCCTCATTTTTGGACCGATTTTGATGATTAAAGTGTCAAAAAAATTGCCCTGATCTGTAGATTTGCAAAGTGTTTTTTGTTTTTATATAATATATCTTTATTAGTATGGGCAGGATCTTCTATCAAATTTGGGTTTTCTCCCATAAGATTAACATGGGGGAATCTAAATATTTAATTGGAAACTTTGTCTCCACTAATTTGAGAGAACGGCTGGACGTAGAAACTTGGTAGAGGTGTCCAAAGAAAGGTCTTGGTCTGTAGATGAGTTATCAAAAGAAAAACGAAGTAAATTCGCTTAGGGCTCTGCCCCAGAAGCCTTTAAAAATCCCTCTACAGATTTGTTTACATTTTGGTCATGTGGATAATACTTTTTAATAAAACAGCTGTTAATTTTAAAATTGTATTTTAAACAACACACATTTATTGGGAGTTACTGAATTGTCCAAAAGAAGTATTTGCAATGTTATTTCTGATTTTAAAATTGATTTTCTTCTGTGTCATGTCGTTGCAATATAAAGCTCCATTACGAAATCAGTGGAAAATCCTTTTGTCACAATAACTCTTACATCTTATTGAACTATCTTATATCTTTGACTATTACAATAGACAATGCTTATATCTAATTTCTTTCTCCATTCTTATTCTAAGGATGGTGTCTGCCTTTTTCACACCTTTTTCCTATATTTTATCATATTTTTCTAGACGGATCATCATAGGTTCATGAGATTATTGTCATACTGTACAGTAGACTCCCTCTAGTTCGGCCACCTCGGGACCGGACCACTGGCCAAACTACAAAACGGCCGGACTAACCGGATGTAGTGCATTTTACATAATCAAAATACAAATAATAGTATTGCGCAATCGTGATATGTTAAGTCAATAACCTTGGTTCAGTAATAAAAACTGTAACGTTTAAAATCATGCTTACTCAAGCAAAACAAAAATTACACAACACTGTACATACAGCAATAAATCACGTAAAGAACAGAACAATAGAAAGTCTAGTACTGCAAGCTACTGCTACCGTAGTCAGCATAGGCTACAACTACAAGTTGTTTCAGAACATAAGTAAGTCGATGAAAACATTAGACAACTCATAAAACAGCATAAAATCATAGTACTTAGTCTTAAAGATAATAACGACAGTCGTCAAATAAGATAAAGATAACAATAGATGATGTAAAACACCGCTTATTCTTTCTTCTTTGTTCTTCTCTTCTTTCTTTGGTTTCTCTTCAACCACACAGTCAACAAGTTGCCATGGTTACTAATCACCCAATCACAAACTGTTTTGTGAGATAGCAAACAAGTGCGCAGCAGACATCAGTTGTGTAAAGAGCAGATGATTGTCAGTGCAAGCGGATAGCTTGACCTTGAAGCTAACGATGGCTATTTCTTTGTTTTGCTTTCATTTATTTTTGTCAAATAAACTGTGTTTCAAAAATAATAATGGGGGAACTTACCGCATAAAAAAATGGTCCGAAATATTTAATTATACACTGCATTTCAACATAATAGACTGAAGAAAAACTATTTATTAAATGTTCTCGGTATTTTTGAGGTTACGTAACATAGTTTTACATAGGTAATATGCAACAATTCACCCATAGAAGCACCCGTCAACTAAACTGACATGAATTGTTTACTTCTATGGCTGAAAAACTAAACATTCAAGTTAAATCCTGTCGAAGGCAATTCACCCATGACGATGTGACTTGTCCCCCTGAGACCGGGCCGGACCATCAGGCGGCCGATCCAACCGAAGCCGAACTAGAGGGAGTCTACTGTACATGCTTTCAATCATTGGAAAAACCTTTGATTGTGTAATAAATACAAAATAATATAAGTGCAGAAGGGCACTGTGCCAATTTGAGCCAAGTCCATTTTTTTTTATTAATAGTGGTTTACAGCAACTGGATAAAACATTTTACAATATTTACGTAGAAATATGTGCATGATTTAAAGTCATTAAGCTAAAAACTGCAATATACTGCAGACTTTTCAGAGAGATTACTTCGATTACAGGTAACAGCCAATTTACATTATTTTTTGCTTTTTGGAAATGCCACATTACTATGTCATTCGTATTATTTTTTGCCAATGAATCTGCACAACCATATAAATGAGGAGGCCCCTAAAAGTTCAATAATAAAAGCCAACTTCCCTTCAAGTATATTCCACTACACCTAACATTCCGTAGAGAGATTATATTGACAACTTTATGTAACTGATAAGGCTGAGACAACTAACTGACATCCCCCATGTCAAGGAATTCCAGCTTTAACGGTAACCCCACAACCAATTTCTCAAAACTGTGCTATAGAGGGTTATTCATTGGCTTAGAAGTACGATATAAAGTGACGCGACGTGACAAAGGAAAAATCAAACCACCTCCCTCTGAAGTTAGAACGTGTCTTCCCAACAAACAGATTTTTTTTCAAATAAAATCATAGATTAATTTGTACTACACTGATGAAATCACGGAAGTGTTTTTAAAACTACAAAGATCCACCAATACGATTTTAATACTATTTAAAGGTTCTTCCAAAGGAATAGATACCAGATAGCATACTAACAACTCCGATGACGTACAGTATGGGAAATATTTTATTCATTGAATGATCAAACATATTTGGTAACTAATGCAATTAATATCATTATTGTTTTTACACTTATTAATCTTTAAACAATGCTAAATGCTCAAAATATGTATAATTACACTCAATTTATCGCAGTTAGATGAATTAGCATAAGCCTTTAAAGTAACCGTCGATTTCGAAGGGTTTCACCTAGTATTAAATAAGTAGACGCTTGCTTAACCGGCATGTTTTTTGGCGTTGCCAGATTATTGAACATCTTCTAAAAACCGCCTTTGTTGTGAGATAAGCTAAATAAGAGTACAGTAAAAAAATGAGGAAATAAAGCTAATAGAGTTCAACTCACGTCTGCTGATCGCTAAGTCTGAATTAAAATTCAATATTAAACTTAACTAAACAATTTTATAGTTTAGTCAGAAAACAAAATAGGCTACCTTGTCTGGAAAAACACTTCTTCATCGACAAAGCCAAAGTTGTCCTGCACCTTAGTGACGGTACCGGTGAACACTCGCTGGCGTGGCGTGGCGCCTTGACTGCCCCCCATGTTGTTAGTGCTGTTAGCCACTGGCGCAGTTTGAGCCACTGCCCCGGCTGCGAACGGTGACGCCATGATGGTACGAGTGGGGTAGCTGACAGTGCCTGCCTGCTGGTACAACTGTAACAAGTACAGTGTTAATGAAGAGATATGGTAATAATTTATCAATTACGGTTACTGTCAGTACCACTTTTTCTAAGAAGCTACCAGTGTTGCTACCTGAGCAAAATTGATCTCAGAATAAATTTTTTCGGCACATAGGCTAGTCCAGTCATTAAATAAGACAGAAACTTTGACTTTTTATGTGACATATTTAATGATATATTTGTGATTGTATTTTTAGGATTTAGTGCAGGTATAACTAAAAAGTGTAGGAGGAGGAATTTTAAAATGTGAAATACAGTAGGTTTTGCACTGAATTACAATGGCTTATTTACATAGGTACATAAATAATATAACAAATGGAATACAGAACAAAAGGCACACAGTTATAATTTGGAAAAACATAATTGGTTCATTGACTGGCAGTTTACAATCAAATGAAAAATAAACAATTACAACTTTTAGCTCTTAAACTTTTAACATAACTATAACACTATCTTCAAGTTTAGACAATTTGACATCCTTGGTTTAAAAATTTCAAAACGTAACCACAAGTTATCAAAATGGGGGATAAATTAGAAATTATTTAGGTTTTTGGGGACGTCCAGGATCCAACTGAAATATTGGGGATTTTTGAGAAATTTATGATATACGGTACCAACCAAAAGAATCTGTAGGAGCTCTAGATACATCCTGAGTACCGGTAAGTAAACATTTACTCTTCCTTTTGTTTAAAAAAGTAACACTTTTATGTCAAATCAAGTTTAGGCCTACTTGGAAAGGAAATACAGAGAACTCACATATATGAATGTCAAAAGGTGAGTATCAACTTACAGATGGATCAATAAAACCCTCTAGGGTTAAGAATATCAACTGATGAGGGCTGAAAACAAGTCTAAAACTGGCATGTTAGAGGTTTGCAGAAAGAATTTCAAAAACATTTAAACTCCATGTTGTAGAACTTTATCTTGAAATCCATACCAGTACGGTAAAAATCCAACTATCCGAACTCCAACTATCCAAATCGCCGATTATCCGAATTGCTTACAAAAATAATTTAAAACCACTGTATAAAGAATCGTTGTTAAAGAAGGTAGATACCATGATAGCAGCAAAGTCCAAAACCAGTCTCGCGATCGATCGTGTTAACACCATCAACATCTACCGTGGTCACGGAAACATTGTCATTGTTTTCGTGATCGCAGCAAAATGTGATCCCATGGTTTTGTAGACTCCACCACCCAACAATTCAGTAATGGTAAAGTTGTCGTATTTCGTGACAAAACTTTAACTATATCCCACAGTCGTGTTGACACCACCATCGTCTCCCGTGGTCACGGAAAATCATAATTGTACTCCGCGACAGCTAAAATTTTCCGATCGCGAAATCGTCCCTGAAACGTTCTGCGATTGCAAAAGTAAAAGCATGGTATGACTCGGCCTATTTTCTTTAATAGACTCTGAATTTGGGTAAAATCCAATTAGCCGAATTAATGATTAGGTATAGTATCCAAATGGGGTCCAATCACAATTTAAAGCATAGTTTTAATCATAATTTTTAAGGGTAGTTGGAGTTCTACTGTAATCACTTTTTTGTGGTGTGTTATATGGTAATGTTCTCACCTGAGTTTGCTGTATCCCGGCAGCTCCAGTAGGCTGCATGGTGCTGTTCAGACCCCCCGCTGTGGACATCTGGCTGGTCCCTAAACTACCCATCGCCTGCATGGTCATCCCAGTCTGTAACAACATACAATATGCTATACATCAACTTCTGCGATAACAGCAAACTTACTAAGCGTAAATAGCAACGCAATTATAGCTAATTTTCATATATTTATAATCTGTATTTTTTATTACTTAGCATGAAATTAAACCTATTGACGCTGTAGTCCTGGTAAGTACGGTATGGTAACTAAACAATTTGTTACCATAAACTTGTAAATGCTACAAGATTATTAATTCAGCTAGTTGTCGAATGCATCTAGTAAAATTTTCACTCCAGCATTGCTATAAAATGAATTTGAATTCAGCATGTTTTACGTTAAAAGGATGTTTCAGAAAGAATTACTAAATGTCTAAATATTTACTGTTAGTCTACATCAATTTTTTAATATAAACTTAAACATCTAATTGAATTTGAAATCATTGAAATTAACTAAACTAATCTATATGTATATAATGTTTTAACCCTATTGTTTAACCTTAGCTTTAAACTTGCTTAAGTAATCAATTTCCTTTCCATTGGCATGCAGTTTATCCACAAAAGCCCAACTTCCAGCATAAGCTGGTTTTTTTATTGAAATTTCAATGTTCATAGCTAAATTTAGCATCAAGTAGGCTACAGAGATCCATCACCTACCTGTTGCAACTGGCCAAGTTGGGTCTGCTGGAACATCTGAGCCTGAGGGTATTGCAACATGGCCGCTGCTGCAGTACTACCAATCTGTGTCATCAGCTGGGGCTGCATCTGACTGGTCTGAGACATCTGTTGTGTCATTCCCATACCTTGAGCTGTCACAAACAATGGGTGTAATAGACTGTACCTACAAAGTCCATGAGATGATTTATATTTTAACCACCAGGAGGAATGGGACTTTACACTAACGCCACGCTTACACAAAGCCAGTTAGTGGGCAGCTTATGTGCCTCATGTAACTTTGAATACACTAGAGGCAAGTTATCTGCCCCGTAACTTGTCTGCCTACTGGCCTGTGTAAATGCGGCTATAGAGAGAAGTACCGAGTTAAAAGAATTTAATCTGCTATTTTGATGTCTTCTAAATTTCAGTTTAGGAATGGAAGTGTGCACAAACAGATAACGTAAGCACTGGCTCTGTTTTTACTTACTGATTTTACAGTTAAGTTATTGGTTTTGAATTTTGTTTGGTTTTATAAATTGAAATTTTAAAAACAAATAAATAAGTATAGATTAAGAAGAAAATCCACGGACAAATAAGTAAAAATCAAAACAAGTTATTACTGATGGCAAGATAATATTTTGAAGGACATTTAAAAGTTTTAGGTTGCATGATCAGTATGTTTTTCAGGTTTGAATGTTGTACTTGTAATTATCTAAATATCCTGTTTGGGATTTGGACCGATTATTTAATTTAATTGGACCGATTTAATTAAATGCCAATAGCGTAAAATCACACAAAATGAAATAGAGTTAGGCTAGCTTAGGTTAGAACCGATGCATAACCAAGTTAAAAGGTAATATTAAAGTTTAGTTGCTACCATCGATGTATAATAACTCCCTGGATTGCGCGCTCAGGTTGAAGTAGGGCTCGAAAAACGGTCCGTCGCTACCTCGCTCTGACCGCGTGGAGTGGGGATAAAAGGCATGAGTCACCCTAGTGGCGAGCGTCGCGCCCGCTCTCGCCGTGTATTGCTATGTTAGTTTTGTGGAAATATTCCAAGGATAATTAATTGTAACGAACTTAAGGAGGTTTTATAGGCAGATATAATTAATCTACGTACTTGCTCACACTTTGTAGAGTATGTGTCAAAAGTAAAGCTCATAAGAAATGTAGTGGTGATATAAAAGAGTTAGATTTATTTATATTTGAACATTAACCAGAGCAAAGTATATCACAATAGTTATTTCATCACATATGCATGTCATCATTTGCTTCGGTGAGGCCCAATTATTATTGAGAGACTTTGCATAATTTAAGAAAATATATTTTGTTTATATTATAGTATGTTTCTTTGTCATACTGTGATTAACGTGTTTGGAAAACATATTATGTTGCTAAATAAAATGAGTGTATAATATTTAATGCCAATTTCTCAAATGTATTCATTATTCTCACTGAAGTAAAATAATAACAAAATATTTTCTTAGGTATTAAATACTGCTGTGAAATCCAACATTTATTCTTTGATTCGAAGAATTTTGTTAACTATAGACTACCGGTAAGCATTAAAATGCATAAACATACGCCTGTAAATTTGGTTACCATTCTTCGTAATGTAATGACATATTTGATGTAATATAATGATAATTAAATGCTAGAAACTTGGTTTCTATATCCCATAAACTGATGCTGAGCCGGCCGAGCTCCTAGCGCCAATGCCGCGCCAAGCGATTTTATGCCTATTTTTAATCGCTTAAAAATGATACAAGCAGGCTCCGTATCAAAAAAAGCTTCAAATAAAAAATAAAATTCATACTTTGATCTAAAACTTTGCCGCAGGAATTTTTTTCCTGACCAAAAAATAAAAAAGTTCCTCGCTTACTACATTTTTCATGTTTTTAATGGTGTTAAAAAACAATCATCTGTTTTAATTTGCCTAAATAAATTATAAAAAATATGTAATGTAAAAACTAGCTACATAGTAATGAGCACTGGTTTTTCCAGAAAAATAATATATCAATTTGAAATTTTTATGTTAACAAATAAGTGTAGCAGAGCAGGTTGAGTGAATGTATGTTTGTGTAAAACAGAGAGGTTCATTCGGCCCGTCCGCCTCGGTATCCCGCCAATTCGATTGGCGGGCACGGACCGTTTTTCCACCACCTAGCGCGCTATCCAGTAGAGTTATTATACATCGATGGTTGCTACAAGCAAAACACTGTCATTGACTGGCCACCAGGGTACTTTTATCAGTAACTGATTTGATTGCGAGATAGGTATAATCCTTGCAATAAGTAGGCCTAGAATCATTTGTAATAGCCCCCATACTAATTGGAATTGAGTATGCATATTGCTATATTACATAGTGGCTAACACCAAAACCAAAAAGGATTTTTAAGTTTAGGTCTAGGCCTACTCTCTACTTAGGTTTTTTTTAAACTTTATCTGAATAAGCCAAATTTAACCAAATTTATAGCATGGATTAACACTTTGTGTTTAGAAAAAGGTAGGCCTACACATTATTATTATTTTAAGTCTGAGTGTGTGTGCCCCTTGTTCAGTTCAATACCCATACTTACTGTTTAATAACGGCTACTTTAAAATACTATTACGTAGTAAACCATACAAGCTGTCCTATAGGTTGGTAATCTATATTTACATTTTTGGAGTACAACAAATGCTATCAGCAATCTCACTTGAATACTTTCTCCCTTAGCTTGTCAACCTAGGCCTTGCTAACCTAGGTGGGCGTAACAATGCTTTTTATGGCAAACATCACACAAGTTGTAATAACTTTTATTTTTACATTAATGAGGTTGGTGCCATTCTGTTAACATGTTCACTTTGATATAAATTAGAATTACAAGTGCCTCCTAAAATTAAAAAAAAAAATGTTTTAATACTTATGAGTAAATTATGTCCAGATGTCCAAATGGTAAATTGGACTTGAACACTCATCTATAAAAGAAGGATTGGATGACGCCATTTCCGGTACTACAATTGTGGTAGGACGTGACTGGTACTGACCCATGTACTGTTGTCATTCAGTTTTTTGGTTGCACAACCCCAGAGACACGCATAAAATTGTTCTATGCAAGTAGAAAGCCATAAAAAATATGTATGTATGAAAAACATTCATGTACATGTATGTTTAGCAACACTAAACGTAAGTGCTAATAGGCCCTCAGTAGCCTATTGCCAAATGGAGGGAAAAAAGCAGGGGCGAATTATCCGGATACTTGATAAAAAAAACACCGCAAACAATTTGGAACACAATTTTGAGGTAAGGTTCCTCACACAATGCTACACTACAGTCATTATCGTTATTCTGTTCCATGTTTCTAATTCTAATCCTAAACCACACACAAACTTACCTCGTTCAAAAAGCACTGACATAGTAAGATACAAAAATGACCGATCCAAAAACGACTTGTACCAAAATGAAGAACATAACCGGCACTAACTTAAACAATGATCCCTGCAGAATGCTGGGCTTATACTAAGGCAATGTTAGTGAGGAAGCGCAGTAGTAAGTTTCATTTAGGCCTATAGTAGGCCTACTGTGCTTCCATATTATTATTCTAGCTTTACAAAAATTGTAGTAGTCCGCAGCGAACATGTTAAAGAGTTAAATGAGCTATAATATAATTAATTGTACTAAATTTTTATTAAAATTGTTCGATCCATTTTTTTAATCAGATTTTTCTGTTAATTTTTTATAAGAGGATCACTATTAAAAACCAAAATTAAAAAAAGAATAGCCTATAATAAATACTTTGCTTTAATACTTTCTTATTAAATGGCGACCATACAAAGTAGGCATTTTAAGCCAAGTATGAATGGAGATGAGTGTAGGATGAGTGGCACGATCTTGTAGTCTTGTTAGTGACTAAGGCCGACATTCCTTAGACACAGCTGTTAATTAATAGCCCACAGCTAATGGCAACTAGGCGACCTACAGTTTATAGTGGAATCCGAACCACATTTTTGCCTTGGTATATACGGGTTGGTCTAATTATCAGGATAGTACTGTGGATAGTCGTAGTACTCACTCGTGCGGACATTAATCCACACCAGGGAGTATCGCATCCACAGTGCATGCCTATAAATATCCACAATTCGTGACCTAGTAGCTGGATTACAGGACGACGCCAACCGTCCCAGAAAAGAAAAACGCCAGGAGATAGGCCCTATTATGGACTAGAGTACCGAAATACCAAATTTCATCAAAATCGGACCACATGTGTTGTTGGTCTGTAGCTCTGTACACATACACACACACACACACACACACACAGATATCACTTAAAAATCACTTTTTTGGGTCAAGGGGAACCTAAAAGTGGTATTTCCATCAAACACTCAAACTCGAAAATTTTGGCGAAAACAATACTTTCTCCATATCTATTGGGAAGAAAGTAAAAAATGAGGACAAATTAGTTAGGCTAAGTCTACTTACTTTGGCGAACCCATGGTGGATTCTTAGCTGCACCACCACCCCCACCAAATTGAGACATTGCTTCTGAAACATTGACATAAAATTTAAACATTTTACTAAGCCTACTTTGTGATATACTTAGCATAACTTAGGCCTGTATAAAATTGTTATTGAATACCCCTGCCGCAGCAACTTCATTTTTTGGTGGTATGATTGGATTTTTACTTCACTTTACAAAACTTATTGTTGTAAAGTAAGAACTAACTGTTGTATAAAAAAAGAATTTACAAAATGCTTGTTATTTTGTTGCTCATTTCACCAACTTTAAATGTCTTTGCATTATAGTAGTTTACACAACGATCGCATAAAGATTGTTTATGCAAATTGTGTACACTACTTTAAACATAACTTAAAACTGTTTTTAATTGATTAACAATTGCTACTGTAACTTCTAAAAGATGTAATATTTTTTGTTTATGGCCACTCATTGTCACTGATAGTGATAGCCTACTCATTTTACCAGCCACTCATTAGCAATTAAATTGGTCTTAATCATTTCAAAATTCCGTTTGATAACAGAAAAGGCATGTAGAGAGTTTCAACGGAATTTTAAAATGTTAACTTACAGCAAGTTTGATTAGTTAGGTTAGGGTAGTTTAGTACAGTTTCATTTTAGTTTTGATGTTTGTTTGTTTTCACGTCCAGTGCCTTTGGATGACTGAAATCTATCATCGCTTGCTGATTGGTTCCTGGAATCTGGAACCCAGCTTCAGCTGTCTCTAGTAGACATTTCTGAATTTCGATATGACTAATCAAAGTCATTTTAAATTTAATTGAACTTTTAAGCTTTTAAATTGAATTAAATTTAATTAACGTCTTTCAACCCCGATACGCGTAATTGAGTGTGTGTTCTGACTACCGATCATTTACAGGTTATCTCTTTTTAAGGTAGATGGGGACAAACCCCTTGCCAATTTAGAATTACATTCACTCAGAATGTATCATTCAAGTTTCAAAACCAAATCCTGACCTCTCCAAGTATCGGAATTGTCAAACGTACCGTCTCGGGTGTGTACGATCCATGTATCGTGTGTGGTTTGAGGACTCGAAATTGATTGAGCCTGCGCTAAGTCAAATACAACTGACCAAGGCACAGGCTAATAAATAATATCCATATCCAAACTAAACATTTACAAATTTACAACTTATAATCACGATGTAAACTGATGGGATTTTTAGCATCTGTCCTAACTTAGCCTACACTCACTCGAATGAAAAATATTGATAGATAGATTATACGATATAAATTAGCCTACCTATCCATTATTTCATTTGGTTAGTTAGGTTAGGTTAACATAACTAACCAAACTTATATCTTAGAAATCTAATCGATATAGGGTGAAGTGGGGTAGGCCTAAGTCGAACCAGGTTTTAGCATAGTTTAACTTTGACCTTATTGCTCAGGTAAATATTATAGGCCTAGTTGTAATTGTGAAAATTTTTGTACCATTGCTAGGCCTACAACTATTTAGCTTTTTAAAGACAATAACTACCTAAAAAAAATACCTATATATTATAAAGAAACGTAAAGTCGCAAAATCTTATAAAAATAGGAAATTATAACAAAAAATAGCACTGAAACATTGTGTGTGGTTACAGTATAACTCTCTGGACAAATGTGAGTGCAATTGCAAATTTTCACTTGAAAAAAATGTTTGTCAATGTAGGCCTATAGTTTTTTATACATTGACGACTGATAATCGTGACAACTGACGAGAGTGTCGTAGTTTGTTGCCTCTGCAACTCTCAGCTTCTAGAACTGTTAGGCTACTTGGAAAATCTAAGTTGTATGAAATGCAATAAATTTGAAGTGATATTCTGAATCTACAGGCAAACAATAGTTAGTGACCTATCGGTAACGGAACACAAAATATTGTTACATTTATTTAAAAAATGTTAACATAAAAATTGACAAAGTTTGACCTTTGAATTTAGGTACAGTAGACTCCTTCTTATCCGGACACCTTTTAACAGGACATCGGTTTAACCGGACTACACTTGGCGGAAATGATATCTCTTTATCAGCACATTAGTTTAACCGGACTAGATCGGCAGGAAGTGGGCAGTACTGAAATGACTGTTCTCGTGGGAAAGATTTGAGAACAGTGATTATGTGTCTAAATATAATGCTCTCCTAAATTTAAGTAAAATATAACAGTAAACAGTCCTTTTTAACAAGTTTTTGGGGACGTCGGTTTAACCGGAAAACCCGTTAAGATATCTGGACTGGCCTCGGTACCGAGGAGTCCGAATAAGAGGGTGTCTACTGTACAGTAACTTAAAAAAAAAATATTTTTTTTTATAAGTTAAGCCTATGTTAGGCCTACTTAGCTTTTTAAGGTTGAGAACCTTAAAACAAGGCCAGTTGATTGATAAGCTACGGTTAAACACTTGCCCCCTGGTTCTAAACACTTACCCCACTTCACCCTATCGAGCGATATATTCATTCGAATGAGTGTAGGACAGACTACAGTGCAGCCAACTGATGATCACACCAAAACTCGAGACTTGTTAGTTGTTAACTAGTCAACATGATCGAGGTTACTTAACTTAAGATAGGCTAGTCAGACAAAATTCAGAAAAAATTTGGCAGTTTTGTGATGTGTAGGCCTAGGCTATACACATAGTGCAACTGATTTTGCTCGAAATTTCCATTCATATACCCAATGTGCTCGTAGGTACTCATTACTATAGGCTACTCATAATGCTCAATTACAGTTCCCTTTGTGAGATAAAGTTCATCTAAGTTACCTTACTTATCCTAAATGTAACAAAGTGCAAGAGTTTAGAATCTTATCTTTCAAATGTTAAGTTACGTTAAGAGGCTACAAACTATTCCATTTTACAATCGTTTTTAACCATTCATTTGGAGTTAGCCAAAACATTGAAAACGCGACTAGGCCTAGGCCTATTATAGTCGCTGCCACTACAGAAACCACCCAACTTACGGCGAGATGCGCTGCCAGTTGGAGGGTTAACATGCCCAACTTACCCATGCTTATTTTGTCAATGTACTTAGGTAACTTAAGTTAAATATTAGTATAAACAGCATAAAGTTATTTTCCATATATTTCACCACTCTCAGACCAAAACTGAACAAGATAACTTATGCTTCAGTAAGCTTATGCTTAAGTTACAGTAAAATAGTGCAGAAACTAGGTAAGTTAGGCCTAAGTTAGGCGCGTAAGGGAGCGACTTGTCACCTGGTGTGGGCAGTGCTAAGCTAACATGAGGAGCGTAGTCGACGTGACCTAAAATTACTCCTAGGCATTTTTTGTTTATCAGCGGCAGGTTGCTTGATGTGGAATATTGTCTACATTTCATTTAATGTAGGCCTAGACTAAAACTTACCCATTTTTATTCTTTCTCAGGTTAGCACAGGTTGTGTCCTGTCAGGTTCCACATCTCAAACCTTAGCTTTAGAAAAGTAGCAGAGCTTCTATGGGCAAATATTTACCGTAGGCCTACTTACACTGGGATATTATTAAGTTATGTAATTTTTATATGTCTACTTACAGTATTTTTCACGCAGAATCCAAAAATGCAAGACAGTTTTTGTCGGAGAGATTCCTAAGTAGCCTTAGTGGCCGTAAAACGAAGTTTAAGATTACGAACCTAAAGATAATTGAGCGGTACTGAAGGTAATGGTATAAGTAATATGGCTCGGTCTGGAAGGGTCCGTACTGAGTGAGGAGTGCGGACTGAGTGAGAAGAGCAAACAGCTGTTTATACTTGATCTAATGCGGAATGAAATCAAATAATTAGTTTAAAACCAAATAATCAGTTCTTATTAAGGCATGTGAGGAAGGTAGGTAGGGTTTTATGCGGATTCGTGACTTTATGTGTTTTAAAGTGAGGTTAGATTAGGAAGGTAAAGGTTAGGTTATAATGAACCTAACCTTTAACTTACCTAATCTAACCTCACTTCAAAGGACTTAATACAGTCACGAATCCGCATAAAGTCCAACCTATCTTCCTCACATGCCTTTTCTGACATAAAATGCGATTTAAACATTGATATTAATTAAGGTTGGGTTGGGTTAGGTTATATTAGATTATGTAACATCATTTATTAGCTGCTGATACTCGTGAAATTATGCACTGTGGCACGTTTTCAATTTTAGGCACAATGGGATTAGGCCTATGTAGGCTACTATGGGATTATGGACTATGGCTAGTGATGTAAAATACCCGGGTATTTAAAACTCGGGGTAAATACCCAAAATCCATAAATACCCGGGTATTTTGGGTATTTATGAAATCGATTGAAATTCATTTATATTTGCCCCTAAATATGTTATTGTTATTATTACATGATAAATTAGGATAGTCTATAACACCTTTTACAGTAACTTTAAGCTTTGCTAGTACCTTTTATCTAATGATTCATCACTTTTTTTTAAATATTACATTTAAAGTTTCTAAATAAGCATTTAGTTTTGTGTCTTAAATCGAGTAACATCAGTTAAATTTTTAAAAACTTGCTAAAAGATAGTATATTAAAAAAGGCTGTGACTATTTCAATTGTTATCATTTTATAAATTTATAACCAATTAAATAACATTCAAACAAAATTATTTTAATTTATAAATATCCAGGAATTGTTGGGTACCTATTTATGATGCAATAAAAACAGTTGAACTTGCCATGAATAGTTTTATTAACAATACATTATTGCGTAGGCCTATAACATTTTAGAATACTCCAAATTCCTAAGGCCTGATTGACATAGGCAGAATACTAAAAGTAAGTTTAATTAATCTTTTCTGTGTTACCGCTTGGTTGGAAACAATAATATATTTGGATAAACCTACTAAAAAAATGTATCTCCTGTTTTTTGGCCTAACTTAATATAATTTTGATTTATAAGATTTATAAGAATAAGATTTATTGTGCTACCGATTCAAATGTTATGTATCACAAGTTTATGAAATTAGTTTTTTTATTTTGATACCATTGATACTAACAAAAGATCTGGAACAAAAATATGATTAAATCCTGCCATACTACTGATTGATTTTTAATTATTTTCTTCTTAAAAGTTGTTAACACATAGGCCACTACTAGGTTAAATTTTCCTGTCTTTCTAAATAATAATTAGCCTATTACTTAACAAATTATTTTTCTTCGCTTTCAATAAAATAAATTCATCTCTCTATCATAGGAATTAAAAAAATCATAAGTAGTCAGGGCCAGTGCAACCATGCGACCAGGGTATTTATGCCGATTATGCTTTATGCTGAGACCTGGGTATTTATGGCGATAATACCCATAAGTAAAATGCTAGTAGTGACCATATGAAATGTTGTTTAACACATTTAATATCATTTTACTATACTTACAGGGTAATAATTAGAGGTGGGGAGCAAATAACGCAGCCGTTATTTAATAACGGTTATTGGACGATAACTGTTATCGGCAACAGCTGTTATCGAAAACTAGGAGTTATCGATAACCGTCAAAATAACCGTCTGCTCTGCTGTGCAATTGTTATTTTTAGTAACGGAGCGTTTGCCAATCGTTTTAAAATATTTTTATTTGTGTATTTTTGACATTAACTAACATTTTGTAGCAAATAAGATAACCACTTGGCTGTATATAATATCGGATTTGTTTAATAATCTCATAAAAGTATAAGTAATTGTTATGGTTACTGCCACTCAAGACTGTTGCTGTAGTGCAGCAAACACACACGGCTGCCTAACAACTAGAGTTATTAAATAACTGCGTGGTGTGGTAGCGACGGTTATCCAATAGGCACAGGCAGCCATACGGCTGATCGACAACTGGAGTTATTAAAATAACTGCGAGGCAGCGACGGTTATCCAGTAGGCCCAGGCAGCCATACGGCTGATCGACAACTGGAGTTATTAAAATAACTGCGAGGCAGCGACGGTAACCGTCTCTCAAACTGCCGCGTAACAACTGTGGCGCAGTAGATAGCCATACGGCTGATTGACAACTAGAGTTATCCAATAACTGCCTAGCGGCGACGGTTATCGGGCAGCCTGAGTTTCTTGCCAGTTGCCAGTACTGCTCAGCTCGGCTGAGAGTTATTTGATAACCGTTATTTTAAACAGTTATCGTAACGCAGCTGCTGGGCAAATAACAGCTGGGCATTTCTGACAGTTATCCCCACCTCTAGTAATAATTGCAAAAAAACATCTCAATCTTTTCTAACTTTAATACAAATTATAAATACCCAATTTATATTTACCTACCCACTGGGTATTTACCCGACCCACATCACTAACTATGGCACGTTCATTAACAGACGTTGAGGATTGGAATGAGGCCGATCATGTTGGCAGTGGCCTAGCTTCTATTACTGATATTTTACGTGAATGAATTCTATTTTGTTTTATAATTTATGTTGATGTGATTAATAGTTTATGTATCGTAGTTGAATTAAGTTATTGTATTTTCTAAACAGCACCAAAGTCCATTTTCTTTTAAAAATCTAGGCATAGTTATTGCATATTGTAGGCCTAAGAACTCTGATTTTACTCTCATGGCGTCGTGTGTGGTTTTGTCTGTTTAATATCGAATTTAAACAACTGACAGCTGTTTCCACTCCACAAACCTTCCACCCTATTAGTGTTAGTCGCCACTAGAACTTGGACTCGTCCATAGGCCTACCACAAATATGTTAATAGCCTAAATCAACAAAACTGAAGCTTAATATTGATTATTTAACTGTACGGCCACTTAGGAATCTCTCCGACAAAAACTTAATTGCATTTTTGGATTCAGCGTGCAAAATACTGTAAGTAGACATATACAAATTACATAATATCCCAGTGTAAGTAGGCTACACTAAATAATTACCCTCCTATGTCAAGAGCTGACATCACTTATTCTATGAAACTAAAAAGGATTGGCTGCACTTTACTTGACGTCCTACACTCATTCGAATGAAAATATCAATCGATATATCGATTAACCGATTGGTTCATTCGATATATCGTTTGGTTAGTTAGGTAAGGTTAACCTAACCTAACTAACCAAACGATATATCGAATGAAAATATCGAATCGATAAAAAACAATCGAACGAGTGTAGGACGACAAGTAAAGTCTAGCCAAAGGATCAAACCTCTCTGAGGTCGGAGAAATCTAGCCTAGCCTAGGCCTAGCCTATATTGACCATACATAGTTGGAGAGAGCGAAAACATTAGTCTAAATCTTAAAAAATTCATGAGTAGGCCTAGGCCTAAACAAAACTAAAATGGATAAACGGGTGTTAAGTAATGGTTTTGGAAACCGGAACCAATGTGTGGCAAAGTAATTTAACAAACAAGGTTGAGATGGTACACAAATATTAACTTACGGCCTATGTTGATAAGTATGCCTAGTTAGTAGTTTTACAAAAAATGTGGGGTAAAGTAGCCTACTTACGTAAAATATGTTATGAGGTAGATCGTGGACGACGTAAACAATAACCCGAATATGTTCAAAGAAAGTAAAGTCTAAAACTAAAGAAAGAATTAGTAAGAAAAGCTTAGTTTAGGTTCCTTCTTCTGGAATCTGGCATCTTCCCTTGTCCCTTCTTCTTCTTCCGTCTGAGTCTATCACTTCACTTCCACTTCAGTCAGTGAGTCTGAGCACAGAATATAGAATATTGATATTCTGTGGTCTGAGTCAGTAGTGTAGATTGGTTGAGTCTTGAGTCTTCCTAGTTCTTATACTGTAGTTCCTTCCTTCGCTCAAATTCAATTTAATTTAACATGTCGGATCATGGGGATGGGATCCAGATCAACCTATCTTTATCTTTCCTTATCGATCTATCTTTAGGGAACTGAAGATCCTCACAGTGTACAGTCAATGTGTTTACAACATACTCACACTCCTGAAAGAAAATAGGAGCGACTTCATGAAAAGGGAAGACCATCATAACTACAGCACTCGAAGAGCTCAGGATTTAGACCTTCCGCGCTGTCGACTCGAACGGACCTTGAAGTCAATGGAATTTACCTCGTTCCTCTTTTGATGGCTCACCTACAGAACAAGACCTTTCTTTAGAGACCCCTACCAAGTTTCTACGCCCAGCCGTTCTCTCAAATTAGCTGTGACAAAAACACCTTTTTCCTCCATAAGAATAACATGGGATGGGAATTTAAAGGCCACTGGGGCAGAGCCCTAAGGGAATTCACCATGTTTCTCTTTTGATCGCTCATCTACAGACCAAGACCTTTCTTTAGACACCTCTACCGAGTTTCTACACACAGCCGTTCTCTCAAAATAGCTATGACAAAGAAAAACAGTTTCAAATTAATATATAGATTATTATTAAATATTTCATGTTAACTTATTTACATAATTTCACGTTTAAATAATTCACTCAGATTTACCCCCCTTTTAAACATTATTAGCTAAATTCCTTTCTACTCCTTGCACAGGTTAAATTATGAATTTAACGAAAAAAAATACGTTGTATTCTAAAACTAACTTGCACTCTATGCGCAAGGACTTATGTTGTTTATCATTGTTTAATGTTGATGGCAATAAATGGATTTGATTTGATTTGTGAATGGCGCCATTCAATAGCACTCTTAAAGAAATTGGGAGAGCTCTGGACCATGCATGGGATGTTTTGCTTCAGTAAAACAGTATGCTTAATCTATGGTAAAAGTCAATTATATTAGTTACATAAAAATATTTGGCATACAGTTAACTGATAAAGATGGCATACTTGCACTGATAACAGCACACAAAGTAGCCAATTGCTGCATTTACTTACTTTTGCCACTCTCATTTTTTTGCCACACTCCAGTATTTCAGCAAAAAATCAGCATATCCGAAGTCCGAAATTCCGAAACCACTAGCCAGAACCACTATGGAAAAGGAATGGAACTGGTAAGTGTGAACGTCATGAAATCGTTCCTCTGAAATCGAATGAGTATGACGTCAAAGAGCGTCCCGTGAGCCTTGCAAGAACTGAACCCGAGGCAACTTAAGGGTGCACTCTACCCCTGCCGTTTTGTGTAAACGCAAGGGTCTGGGTCTAGGGCAACAGTGTTTTCGAGGGCTACACTCAATGTTATGGTGGCATTTTGAAGAGGATTAAATAATATATAGATTATGGTGGTTTCAATATGTTTAATATCGTACCATAAGGCCTGAAAATCTTCTTTGAATGTAGACGGAAAACGGCAGTTTTAAACTGCTTTAACTCGTTATAGAATTGTTACTTTAAAATTCTAAAACCTGGGTCGCAAAGATTGTTCTTTGTTCTGTAAAACTCCACTCATTGTTTTTTACTAGCATGTTTGGGTAGTTTACAAAAGCAGTTGCCGTGAACGTCTGCGAGCCGCGGCGCTATTCAATGGCGCAACCGCGCAACATAGCTACTGAGATTTCCGAGCTGAGGTAGAGCGCACACTGAAAAAATATACGAAAAAGAAAGTTAGGCCTAAACATGAAAATCATGGTGGAGGGAAAAACATAGGTGTAATATTCCATTCCCGTCATGGGCTGAGGACACCCAGAGATTGCAAAAAGAAAATCACCTGATTGCAATTGACGAGTTCCAAATCCTAATTTTGTTTTTTTAACAATTTTACACTAGTTTTGAAACCGTCTTTATAACATTTAGTAGAGTTATATATGAAATCGAAGCAAAATGGGCAAATATACAATTGAGCAGGATTAGCATGACCTAAAAAAATAACTTAAGTTAAAAAAATAACTTTTAGTTGCAGATGTTTGTTTGTGAGAAGCGCGAGAGGAGCAGTAGTGGGGCGGTGGTGGGGCAGGCGCTCCCTAGAGGGGAAGGGACACCCACCGCACTACTATAAGGGTCGCCATAGATCTTGACCGATGAATCGGCACTACTAGCCATCCTACAAGTTTTCAACAAGCTATCGTCGGACCAGTGATAAGGGTCGGGTCGTAAAGCCGCCTATTGTCCACCACGGAGGGCGGCTCGACCCTCATTAGTGCCGCTCGGTCGCACTCAGTAAGGAATCTGATACCATAAAATAATTCTCTTAAGGAATAAAAATAGTTGAGAATAATTGTGATAATGAGATTTACCTTGAAATTTCGAGTATTTTTATGTAAAATTTGGAGTAAATCGGCCAATTTTCACATATTAATTTTTCTCTAAAGAGGTATGTTTAACCAATTGCCGAGTTGAGTCAATATTTACAACAAATGACTTGAAATTTAAAGACGATATAAAACGATTATTTTCAATATTATTTTTATTCCTCAATCGAATTTTTATTCCTTGATTCGATTGACTAATACGTCGTGCTGCCTACGGCTCAGAGAAGCGTGTAGCCTATACGATTGTAAGGTTGTATAACGATTAAACATTATTTATCATGAATAAATTTAAATTAACTATCCCATTTTTATGTTTATATATTTATCGGATTTGGATGTTATAAAGTGATCACTGCCCTAAAGCTAACATAATTTGTTTGAAGTTGGTATTGTAATATATCCAAATATTATACAGAAAAATCAGGTTTAAATGTTATTTTTGGAGTTTATATGGGTGCGTTCGAGCCCAATTAAATGCAACTCAAGTATTAGTACGTCCAGTAATATCCCATTATGAAAAACGGTCATGGCGTAAAAAAATTAACAAGTACACTAACAATGTTAATAACATCAATATGGTCATTACTTACATCAATTAATTTCCGGACTTCAAATTTACAATTCCTCTATCCCAGAAAGGTCCATCTCTTCTCCTTCAGATGGTTCATCTGCACCTTCACTGTCCTCACTGTCACTTTGTCCTAAATCAACAATAACAGCATCATGAAACTCGTCAATTAATTGTTCTCTCTCAAAATACTGATCTTCAATACTTTTCACGTGACTGCAGCACTTTTCCCACTCACTGGCACCGATTTCAGATACCTTCGCTTCAACTAATCTCATAATACTGTTCATGTTAAACTGAGTGTTGCGTTCAGCTACATAACCCTTGATCTGAGACCAGATGAGTTCGATGGCATTCAGGTCAGGGTGATACGGAGGCAGACGAAGAACCGTATGACCACTGTCATTCCCCTCTAAGATTTCGTCTAGACTGTATCTCGTTGGTGGTTTATTTTGCTGGATTAGGTTGAGAAGCTCTGCCTTAAACATTGTTGGTGTGAAATCTATGTTGTGTTGAGTCAACCATGCCTGCATGTCCGCCTTTAGAGAACTTTTTGTTGGGATTTTATCCAGTGTCACATTGTGATAAGAGGCATTATCAATAATAATTACCGATCTTGGTTTCAGATTTGGCAACAGTTTTTCTTGTACCCACTTTTCATAGTTAACAGTGTTCATGTTTTTGTGATAGTCCCCTGTACTTTGGCTGGCTTTCCACTGGAGAAATGTGTTTGGTATAAAACCATCTTCTCCACCTGCGTGTACGATGATTAGACGGTCTCCATTACCAACTGGAACATGAAGTCCACCATTTGTACTATCCTGCCATGAACTTGGAGTAGCGTGATTGGTTACCACATACGTCTCATCGGTGTACACTATTGGTCGGCCTTCCCTTCTAAATTGTCTCATTTGCCTAATAAAATTTATCCTTTTGTTTCTTATATCTTCTCTTTCAATTAGGATTCTTCTGTTATTCCTAGTCTTTCTCCACTTGAAACCCAGTTCTTTCAAAATTCGCCTCAAACTTGTGTTGGAGCCTTTGAAATCGATGGCTTCGGAAAGTCTCAATCGCAACTTCTCAACTGTCGGGACACATTTGTCAGATACATAGAAATTATGTACAGTTCTCCTAACAACTGCTTTGTTAAACTCATCCATTTCTGTAATATTCTTTTTAATTTCTCGTTTTTTATCTGGTGTCAAAAATGAAGCAGTCTCACCAGGGGGAGTGTTATTTAGTTTTACAGCTTCTTTTGTAATCCGGTGTATGGTACTTACAGAAACACCCGTTGCTCTGGAACATCTTTCCTGGCACCTTTTCACTGGCACTATGAAATGATTTTCATTCCACTGTCTAGCTTCTTCTTTAAAAAAGTTTAATACATTACACACTATTTCCCTAGACTGTCCATGCAATTTTTTGTTCTGGACCTTGCTCAATATTGGAGGCATTTCTAATCACAGAAGCGCACATACACGACACAATGATATACTACGGAACGACAGAGAATATGACCGATCAGCCGGAATACCACAGCGTAACTGTTAAGTTAAAGTGTAAAAACCCAGAGGTTGGGGCAGATTCCCGAAAGGGTGACATGAGTCATAAACAAGCATCTGGCAACAAACTCATTTCTCAGTAAAGGAAAGAGAAAGCAAGCCTCATGCAACGTGTTTCCCTCTTACAAACCCCAAAGCGCGACAATAAAAATGTTTTACAAAAACACCAAGTTCATTTCAGATCACTAGACTATTAATTCGTTTCTTTAGACACCATGTTTCTCGTTCATACGATCGATCAGATAGTCCAATTTATTTTAAGCGGGAGTTTTTATCACAAGATAACAAAGTTAAAAAGGTTTACACAATTTACGAGAAAATAGATCATAATGTTATATTTCTGAAACTTGACAAAACAAAAATTGTTGTAAATCACCCCAATATTCGTCGATTTATATGTGTGTATATATATTGTAATAATTACTTATATGATTTTTAAATAACTCCAAAATTTCGAAACCACAGATTTTTTAACTTTTTGTGATATAAATTTAACAAACTGGGTACAAATTTGAAACTTTGTAATATAAAATTTGACAATACTTTCTTAAATTTGATAGGGTTCTCGTCAAAATTGAACGAACCATTTCGAAGGTGTGGGTGTGATACCGTACACTCGAGTCTACACTATTGTTGCACGGTCAGTAGTTGTAGGAAACCAATGTTTTCAGGAAAGTACCCGCACTCCTCCCCGCGCCCATCCCAACGCTCGCCAATCCATCTGTCAAGATCTGTGGCGACCCTTATAGCCTTGCTGAGGGAGGATGCCAGGGAAGCGGAAAAGGCCTCCCCTGCAACGTCTCCCCCCTACGTCATATTAACGTCAGAGTCCGGAGGGGGAGACGAGTACAGTTGCAACATATGCACTCGTCGATATGACGAGTTATTTTTAGGTTTGCATTTTATTTAGATAATTATAGTCACTTTAGCGACTTAGCATGTACAATTACCAGATATTCCAATTGCAATTGATGCTAACCAGATACGTTACCCCCGATCGTTTTCAGAAGACACACCCTGGAAAGGTCTCCCCCGGTATACCTGCTGTATAGACAATTACCTTTCATTTGGTACCAACAGCATGTAAATCTGTCCAGTAGTATGGTCAGGGTGGCTGTCGTAATCTTAAAATTAGCCCATGTTAAATCTTCATAAGAAAAGTTTAATAATTTTCATTTTTCACCCAATTAACATAAATATTTCCAATTAAAACATGCACATATAGGACCTATAATCTTTCTTTTGGTATAACCCGCATGTAATTCGGTCCAGTAGTATGGTCAGGCTAGCTGTCATTAGACAAATCTCTAAATTTTGGCTCCATGTTAAATCTCTATAACATTTTTTTTATACTTGTTCCTAGAGGTAGCCCCGTGGTTGAAAACTCGACTAGAAATATGTAATGTACATACTTCTCAATTTTTACCCCACACTGTAAATAAAACATGTGATTGGAATTTGTTTGGATTTCCTGTTTATATTTTGTCACCAGCATGGCAACCCATAAGGCCCATGATAATTTTTTAAAATTTCAAATTCATTTTTCGTGCTTATTTTTAAGCCTATTTTAATTTATAAAAGGATTCTGCACATTTCTAGAAAATATCTTTATAATTTGGTACCAAAACCGCCTGTAATTCGGTCCAGTAGTATGATCAGAGGCTAGCTGTCATAAGTTTTGCAAAGGTTTTAATGTATAAGATTTTATTTCTAATCAGACATAAGGAAATCCAATAATCAGACTCTAATCATTCAAACTGACATATTATCAATTCCACTTCAACCATCTGGAGGCAGCAAGCAGCCTCTGCCCTGGAGCCGTTACTCCAATCGCTCCACACCACTGCTGTTTTTTACAGGCTTTTCAAAATTGATACAAATGATAGCAATTTATACGTCAGTTTAGTTTTCCACTTACTGTATTTAATAAAACATACAATATTTACTCTTTCATAATAAACCCTGGCCTATGAAATCGCTCTATAGAAAATGGTCCTAACACCAATCACCCGGGTCATGTGTACTTCCAGTCCTGTCATGATGGGAAAGGTCATAACCTCAGATACACTTTAAGTCCAGGCAAGGAAGACAGCTGAACACACTTTCTTCCAATCTGACGGATTCGGGTGGCAGGTACGCCAACCTGGTCTCGCTGACATCATCAATGCGATCATTCCCAACAACATAGAGTTTAAGAGATAGTAGAGCACTTGGAACTGAGTCAAACAGTTCATTGAGGCCGTACATTGGGCTAAAAAGATTGATTTGGATCAGCCTTAACACATGACAAATCTTGCCCTAAATGCAATGCATAGTGTATATTTGAAATTGCTCAAAGAATGTTTAAAATTACTGATGATTTGATGAAAACAGCTTCAGAGGTAACCAATGACCTTCCACCAGATAAGATAAGAATACAAAATTTTAATTCAATTAATTAAGTGCCAATGTATTTAATATATTTATCTAAACAAGTTTTATTATTATTATAAATCCAATTATCAATCAATGAGATGGGGACACCACCTAGGTGCATATTTTAACCCAAATATGAGTGAATCTACATTATGAAACCATAAATGCTGAGAAGTGTATTTCTAATGATAGAGTGGTCTAAAACTATTTTAATACTACTGATAGTTATTCTGTATGTGTGTATTTTTGCGTCGTAATGAAAAAAGTATCGTTCATAACTCGTACCGAAAGCTATTTTCCGACACTTGTTCCATTATTCCCGTCCTCAGCTTCGCCTCGTATGTGAAAATAACTCCTACATGCTCGGCTTTGCCTCAAACATGAAACTTGAGCGCGGGTCGGAAAATGCCACTTTCGGTTTTAGTAATGAAATATACTATTACCAATGGATAATTTTGTAAATGCACTAAAAAGCAAAACTATGCATTTGAATTTTTAATACAAAAATGTTGAAATATGTAAATGCAATTTTTTCCATAGGAGTTTTACAGGAATCACAAACACTTGCATTTCCTATCATAAGTAAGAACGTATTTTATGACAAACCTGAAGACTACAACATTTTACAAGATTCTCCATAAGAATAACATGGGAATTTTAAATTTACAATCTTTGGAATTTTCTCCGTAACTAATGATCGAACAAAAACACTTTGATATACTAAATCATTTGTTTTTTTAAGCTCTATGGTCTAGAGGAAATTAGGAAATTTTGAGTCAAAAATGAAAAAAGTGTACCAAGGGTTTAGGAATGATTGTTCTTATAAACAACTGCTACAGTTTTGCGTTCTAGGAGCTGGTGGTCCCCGGTCAACATCAGGAATACTGACCATCACGTTGCCTCCGACTGAAACAGGGGTTATTTTTCCCCCGTGTTCATTAAATTTTTTTCTGTCTTGATTTTTACGGAAGTTTTCCCGTTTTGTATCAATAGCAGATTGTCTTGAGCAAAAAGTGCTCCTGGTAGGTCTAAACTGCTCTCTTTTTAAGTCTTCATTTTTGATCTCCTGTGAGAACTAGAATTCGGTGTTTGCGCAAAGTAGAAATACCCACAACAAGACATGGGCTGTCCCTTATGCTCACATCGTATTGTGGGCATTTTGGGTTTTCTCAATCGCCGAATAACGTTTCAACTTCGGCACTTGAGTAAATCAAATTGAGTAGCTTACCCACAACGCAGTCTGGGCATTTCACTTTGGCTAATGTCCGAATAAAATGCTCATTCCGCGACGTCGGTATTTCACCCTGTCCACATCGCGGAGTGGGTCAACATTTCAATTATTGTCCGAATTCGGAGTTTGAGTGTAGCATATACACCACCAGGAACGTTTCTGTCCCATTCCCATTCTTGAACCCTTTCGGGGCCCCACCCCAGTGGCTCTGGAGCTTCCCATGGTTACCTTATGGGTATTCATATTTGAAAAGAATAAAAGAATATTGACAGCTGTTTCAAATAAACCAAAAAGTTAGGTTCTATGGCTACGTCCAAATTCACCAACATTTTTGGGGTCGTTTCTAATGTCCAAATTCACCAACTTTCTACCTGGAGCAGGCACGATATTTCTCCCGGCGGGCGGGGAAGGAATTATTCCGAATAGTTTGCCCTCGCCTGCTCCGTCTCGTCTCGGCGAGAGTGTACTGCTTAGCCCTAATAGTACTGTTTAAGCTGTGATTGTTTCAGGCAGCTGTTAGGTTAGGTTAGGTTAGGTTAGGTTTGGTTAGATTAGGTTAGGTTAAGTTAGGTTAGGTTAGGTTACGTTACAGTACACTCTCGCCGAGACGAGACAGAGCAGGCGATGGCAAACTATTCGGAGGGAATTCCTTCCCCGCCCGCCGGGAGAAATATCGTACCTGCTAAAGGTAGAAAGTTGGTGAATTTGGACATTAGAAACGACCCCAAAAATGTTGGTGAATTTGGACCTGGCCACAAGCTGCTAGTAGGCTATAAAATAAACCTATTATCTTACTCCAATTTAAAAAATGTGAAAAGCTCTATTTCTGAAAAAAATTGCATAAAATGGACCTTAAACAAGCTTAATTTTTTGAATAATACAGTATTTAATGTTATGCATCAGCAATTCCAATTGTATTGTAATCTTGCCAATTTATAAACAAGGAAAATGGGTTCTATGAGAAAAGTAGTTAGCACATAAAATTTAATTTTCGCATCTTAGTTTTCTTTACATCCATTCTTTAAGGCTAGATTATAATGGTAAACAAGATGAAGATTTAGAGACAGAAAGGAAATAAAAAACAATAGACTATGTAACCAAGTTTTTATAAGTTTTGCTACAAACATCAAAGTGGATCTGAGGTTGAACCAAGCGTGATGCTAAAAATGTAAGAAAATTTAATAGGCTATAAAATAAAAAGCAAAACGTTTAGTTGCAGCCTGCAGATCCATACAGTACAAAATTACAGGTCGATTCTGATGTTATATAGGCTTTACATTGAACTCTACAAATTAACAAACTGTGCAGTTACTCTAGATGACTTAGATACAATGGGAAGGAACAGAATCTTATATTCTTCATCAGTTCTATGTAAATTATGATATATTTTATTCAGATAACTAAACAAAAGTTTTGCTAAAAAATACTTAAAATGTTTGTTATAAGTTTCAATAATAAAATGTTTAAAATTTGTCCTATATATATATATGCATGAGATATGAGTAAGAGTACAGCAACCAGAATGGATTATCTAGATTTCAACCGAAATCGGCAAGTTTTTCTAACTGTGATCAAACTAGAAACAGCTGTTAACTTGTCAGGCATAGTCTTAACTGTCAATCAGATGTTTCAGCTAGAAAATTAAATAAAACAAACATTCAATTTACAGTCAAAACTGCGCTGTGGATGAGACACTTAACCTCTGTGCCCAGTTTCATCACAGTTAGAAAAGACCCCTGAATGGATTAAATCCGAGATTCAACTGAATTTACGCTTGGTGGAATTTAAATCAACTTCACACAACACTATCATTCTTACGCACATCATAGAAAAAACAGAACATTTAAAAACATCTAATTGATGAAGGAAATAATCCGACTTAAAAATTATTTTAAAATAAGTAAAAGCTGAACGCATATACAAGTATTTTGTACCAAAACACTATTTTACAAAAGAATATAAACTATCAGATCACTGTTTGTCAACTAAGGAAATGAGAAGATAAACAAAGACACAAATCTAAGGCTCCACATTGCATACCGGTACATTCTGATATTGGCATCAGTCGACTCGAAACTAACTCTACCTTACATGGTCACATACAATTTAAATCATTAAAAGCATGCTTTACTCCTAGTCAATCAAATAATTAGTACCTATTACGCATATTCGCAAGGAGTAAATGTTCCATACAAACTTATTTACAACAGTTAGTAGGTCCAGTGTTCATAATATACAGCCAAGGCAGAATTCGCTTCATCTACAAACTGACAAATTAATGCGGTTTACAATTAAAATTAACAGTTGTATTGCTCTGAGGCTTTGGTCAATAATTCAAAAACTCTATCGGGTTTACAAAACACCCATTAAGTACAGTTAAATTAAAAATATAAAATTTCAAACAGTCTGAATAAGCCGTACGTACAATAGGTGATGATTTTAGCTAATGGTCTCAAACCATAGACATACATCGAAACGATATCAAAATTTCCAATATACAACATAATCTAAAACATTTAAATATCTCAAAATTTGTGCCAACACATATAAGAGTATCGATGATCGTTAGCAACACAAATGAGAAGTCTTGCGATAAATGAATCTGTGCATTAAACCAAGAAACGTAACAACTAAAGAAATTTACAGCTCCTATTTAGTTTTCCACAAAAACACCTTTGTAATCGAGGTACTAAAGTCTCTCACACGACAGAAGATCTCTCGGTGCGGATAAATGCAGGGGAAGCTCCAGAACGGAAGCCGTAGTTACGCTCGCACATACACTCGTGTCCCTAGCGCTACTGTAGAAAATATCCTCCCGAGCGCACATCACATACATCACATTTACACAAATTTAAAAAATGAGTTTATCGCGCTTGAGAAGTGTCACTGTCACAGAGGTAGTCTATTGTCATGGGGGGTGGGATTGTTATCTGCGATCGCGATACAGCAAGTAGACAATCATCGCCTGAGGTAGGTTCAGCGTTTGTATCCTCTCCTCCAGATTGTGTTTGCCGATCCGTTGTCTGATTACTCTTCTGCACAAATCCATCAGTGGCAGCGGCTCGGCTGTAACATAACAACACAACAATGTAATACTGAAGCACTTTCCATTCATCTGACTTATATATTATAAAGCTAATAAGGATTACAAACTTTTTAGAAAACAAAAAAGAGAAAAAAATATTAGTTTCTTGATAAAAAGAGGCACGAACCTCAATTATTGAAGGGTTGTATTCAATCATATTTCAAATATTGATTATGCATCAGCTGTTATGTTGTTATTTATACTTTGTTTGCTTAACCTTTTGCTTTGTTATATGATTATATGCCTATGACTAAGTTGATTTGATTTTGATTCTCATTATAGATGTTTACATAAGGTACGATAGAGTCATTAGTAAGTTTTGATTCTGCCAAACAGTTTAATGCAAATACACAAGAGATTTTCATTGATATAAGCAATAAGTACAATTGATATTTGCATGGAAAGTGAGTAACCGGTGTTTACAGTAGATTTGAGACCTAGATTACTCTATTAAGTAATTTTGCCCTGTTGCAAAGCACGGGCAGAACAACTAGTATGTTTTACTGTTAGCAAGAACCAACAAGGTTTTTTTTGCATAAGTGGATGATTACCACTTAATGAATCTTCATTAGAGGAGAGAAAAATTCTTGTATCTCCTTTTTTGAGGGATTGCAATGAGCTTAAGTTTGTTTTGAAAAAAAATCCCGTGCTTCGCAAAAAGACGATGACACAGAAGGGCCAATGTTTGTATTAAAAAAAAAATTCTTAAGAAAATAGTATTGATTTTTTGTAGGTTAGGGTACAGTAATTTTACATCAACGAGGACGACACTGAATCTTAGCGATTTTATTATTCTACAGTTAAAATTGCATTGTTGTCCCTTTATCATAACAAGTTACTTCTCCAACATGTCAACGGTTTTCCTTCTTAAAATTTGTTTTTAGCAACTGCTGAGGTAAATTTTAAACTTAAACATACATTCATCACAATTAATATGTTTTAAGAACTCGCTATTCAAATTAGTGATGGGCGATACGGACGCGTATCGCGATACAGCGATACGATACGTATCGGAAAAAAATATCGTATCGCCGTATCGAATCGGGCGTCTGTATCGCGATACGCGAATCGTATCGTCAAAAATATCGAAAAACGATACGTATCGTATCGTTTCCTCCCCCCCCTCCCCTACCTAACCTAGAAACGGCAAATTTATTAAGTACCTGGGGACCGAGCTTTGCCCGGGGAAATTCATTAGTTTGCTTTGAAAACACTAAACAGTCTTAAGTTTAGTATTTCAGATACATTAATCCATTCCCACACTACTCCACACTGCTCGCCTTTACTACTTCCTTCACAACTCCCTACGTCTTGGACCTGTTTCCCTTTCCTTCCCATATAGCATTTTAGGATTGCAGATACATGATACATTAATGTAATGCAATTGCCACAGACAGTTGACAGTTCCCACACACTGCACTGCTCTGCTAGGCTAGATAGAACGCTAGTGGAATGGAAATGGACTGCAGACTGGACTGGGATGGGACACGACCGCGTAGGCGGCCGTGCATGGGACTGGTACATTATCAAGTAAAAACCAAAAATATAGACGCTAGATAGAACGCTAGTGAAATGGACTGGAGGAGACTGGACTGGGATGGGACTGGTACATTATCAAGTAAAAACAAAAAATTATAGACAACACAAACTCCTATTTCAAACTACACATCCACAGAGTACAGATTTTGCAGTTTGCTCGGCATGTGCAAAAAAAGCTTAAAAATATCGTTTTGACATGAATCGTATCGCTCTATGTGCCGATATAAGTTCAAATATCGTTTTAGGCGATACGATACGTATCGTTTTTCAAATATCGTATCGAGATATCGTATCGTCCCTCGCGTATCGCGATATTCCGATACGATACGATACGTATCGCACATCACTAATTCAAATTGCACATCAAAGAAGGGAAACAACTCAAATAACAACATTAAGAATGAGTTCCCCCCAATAAAACTGTTTAAATAGTTTAGGTTAAAATATAATATTATTGTTCTTTTTCTGTTCAGTTATTTCTTCAATGTCAATATGTTTTTTCTCTCAGTAAGGTTATGTTATAACTTTGCGAGTCTGATGTTGAGCCTATTGTACTGTGATGTAATTAATGGCTGAATAAACAACTATTATGACAATTCAATAGAAAAAAAAACATATGCTTGAAACAACATTACCAGTACTTGTGGTAATTGTGGGGATTCAACTTTACACACACAGTATAGTAAAAGATAGAAACACTTACGATCCAATCCACCGATGTATCTCATGGTGATTTCACAATGGCCCCAGACCGCACTGACGATAGGATACAACTTCCTGCCCTTCAGTCCTCTAAACGCTACCCCTAGGTACTGCCCGTCCACTACAAACGACAAAGTACCCTCGTCCATATCTAATACAACTGAAAACAAAGAAAAATGTTGATTAGCGATTGTAAAGCATCACACATTAATAGCTCACAAAGTTTACCTTGGGAAATCTTAATTGATATCTCGGATTATTTGTAAAAGGTGTGGAAAAACTATATTTTTCATAGAACCATCAATTTAAAAGTTCATAATTGTGCTTCTTATTTTTCCAAAATGAAATTTTTGCAAGCAGATCACTCCTTAGCTTGTTCAATACATAAATCCTGCAAAATATTTATTTGCTAACATTATCTCACTTGGTCACAAATTATGTGTCACAGTTCACTTAAAAAATATCAGGGAAAAGTCAAATACTATAGGCCTACTGAAAATGTCAGGTTTTTGAACAATTGAGTGTCTTGAACTTTTAGACATTTTATTATAAAGTGATTATTCAATTTTTCTTACTTAGCAACTAAGATACTTTAGGGCAGATTTTCTCAAAGTGTGGTCAGCAAGCAATTTTTTGGGGGTCCGCAAAAAAACATTTTAATCAAATTTATTTTTATAAATTATACCAAAAGTGCCTGACAACTAACTATGGGGGTCCTAGAGTAGGTGAAGTTTAAGCCCTGCTTTAGGGTAGTAAGACATGTAATGTATTGACTATTAAAAAACAATGAGTAAACTTACATCATAGTCTGAAACTTAACTACTGTACAAGGCATACACTTTTTACTTACCGAGAAACTTATCTGGAACTAAAAACGTTTCATCAGGTTTTAGTAGCGCAGGATATGTCACTCCAGCGTTGTTTTTTGAATCGTGATATAACTTGTTTCTCCCTAAATCCCAGCCCCACGACTGGTCGTTACTGCCAACTAAACTCTGAAAGGGAAATAAAACAGTTAGGCTTTAAGATTCAACAATCGCACTTAAACACATTCAATGACTAACAAAAATCATTCACAATCCAACATCTCAGGGCACTTATATGAGCTCTCTTCAAGTATTCTTCTAATTTCTATAAAAAGAAAGTTGGTATTTGTTAATATGAACCTGAATTTGGATAATAGTTTATCTGGGTAGTATTATGGGTTGGGATTGTCAAATGAAAAAATTGAAATTACAACCAGTCAAAATGCTGTGTTACTTTATTTTGTGGGATCCACAGTAAAGTACAGTAGACTCCATCTTATCCAGACACCTTTTAACCGGACAATTTTTATCAGCACATTGGTTTAACCAGACTAGATCGGCAGGAAGTGGGCAGTACTGAAATGACTGTTCTCGTGGGAAAGATTTGACAATAATAGAGTTTAGAACAATTACGTGTGCACATAGCAAAATGTGTCATGACTGTCTTGTCTAACAAATTGAAGCAGACACTACAAAATCAACACAACAAACTAATGATGGTTTAAAATGTTGAAATACATAGGGCACAAAAAATTGAACTTCAGTATACTATATTTATGGTTGTATTTGACAAATAAATGTTATTCTAGAGTCTCAATGATGAAGCTATATGCTTTGAAATGAATACGAGAAGACAGAAAAGGTTAGCGACGTACCTGATAGCCGACACTGTGTAGCGGTGCGTCCGTAGTCGCTACCCCCACCACCGCATGTGTGCCTCTCTGTCTGGTAGACCAAAGCACTTCCCACACATGTAGCCCTTTGCTAAACCCCATCTTGCCTCTGATACAGTCTGTGCTCTGGGCTACCGGATGTCTGTGGAATGTGAGTTTGTCGTCTTCCTGCAAACAATACACGCAACTTCACCAAAATGTTTCTTACTTCAAAAATAATCTACAACTGAGGATTTTCCTTAGCAGACTTACCTGAGTCGGTAAAATCTTCAGCATACAAACATATAACACTACTCAAACAAATTGGAAAACTTTTGTACCTAGCCTAAGAAATGTTTATGATGCAAAAGTGAACTCTCTCCTTTTCAGGCAAGCCTGATGCCCTATCTGTGAAACCTAAGAGTTTGTGCTTTATATTACATCCATGATCGATCTGATTAGGCTATGTAAAAAAATCCACAATTTAGACGGGTTGTTATTGGATCACTTAATTATAGAATTGGTTGATTAGTTACAAATTGCAATAGCACATTCTATCCTTTTTATTTACTAAAAAGTCATAAATTATTTGATCAAGACTTAGACAAATAATTTTACCCTGAGATAAGAGAGAAATTTCTAGTCAATATCTAAAGAGCTCAAGCAATTATGGACATATTAAAAAAAATTAAATAAAAAAAAAAAATTATGGACATGGATAGCACATAAAAACAGGCATAGATTTTACAAGAGGTACCCTATGATCCAAGATTCTTAGTCATGCTTGGATAATATTGCAATTGAAACCACCAAGCGTGAAATACAAACTACAATTCTGTATTACTTCCTTAGTAATGGTCATTTTATGGAAAAGTGCCATCGTGGAGAAGTAAATATTACTGTATGTCCATGTTGACACTATGCAACTGATAGGCTACATAGTAACACTGGGACAAAAGATCTCATAAATTTTGCCAAGCACCTCTTTGACTACTGTATGCAAAAAACCTACTACACTGTAGGACAATAAATCGATGGCTTTTTCAGCCAGCTGCCAAACATAATTCAATAAATATTTATCATAAAGTTTACAATTACGCAATGAGATATCTCCTTCACTAAGCCATTGTGGTCTGGGGAATCAAACTGTCTGTTGGTAGATCGCAAGGCTTCGGTGCCCGAGGTCCTGGGTTCAAATCCCGCCAATCACCAATGGATTTTATCCTCTAGGTAAAGTATGACATATAATTTTAAAAAAGTTAAAAAAAGCCATTGCGGTCCAGCTTTGTTCACGTTGAAAGACTAAAAAATCCACCAGGCTGAGCTATCAAAGAACAATCAATGACATTGACCATTTCTTAAAATGCCAATCCAGAACACCCAGAGTCCACTTTCAAACCATCAAAAAGTTCCCGACTTGTCTGACATTCAAACTGGCAACCTTTTGATTGTCTGGAAAGCTCTCAAACCACCCAAGGAACCAATTAAATTCTTATGTCTTACTTGAACTAAGTAGTAACAAAGTAAAATTTTCAAATTACCTTAACAAATATATTGAGAGATCTATCGTCTGCGTTCCACGCATGTTTGGCTTGTGTGTCCCGACTCGCGGGTGGCATATCAAGCAGTATGTCGAGTCGCGCGGGCCTCGCAAAGTCTTGCGCCAGCTCACGGGGAATCACTGGCTTGTACGGCTGAGGGCTTTCTCTGTTTACTGTCTTCACTCCATCTGTAAACACGTTCAGAGACTGTAGTTAAAATACAATGCAAGTCTAAAACATTCTGACTTTACAAGGAGTTGTCTTATAAACCAATGGATTAAGGATGAAGGATCATTTTAAAGAGACTACAGAAGAAGGAAAGTTGACTTTTTTTCTAAAACAGCTCCGTTTTATATGTGAGATGTTGATAGTTATTTATCTAATCGAATCGTATTTATCCATCCAAATTGCGCATACATACATGAATAGTCAGTTTGCAGAACACAAACAAGTCCATTTAGACGCTTTTAATACAAAAGGGTGTAAGTACTTATAATATGATATGTACTTTCCCCCATTAGTCTTGCAAACCACGATTTGTTGTGCCCACTGAGAAGACATAAAGTGCACAAACCAATGTTTTAAAATTCATAAGTAAGATGGGATGAATGAGATTGAGGAGTATTGAGGAGGTAACCAATATCTATGTACGCAAAAGATTTACATTCTTTTTTCAAAGCCTGTAATCTTAACTGTCAAGTTGAGTACTGGAAGAATCATGCTCGCTAATACTGTACTAAAGTAATTTTTGTATAAATATTATTTCTTTTACAATAACACTCTTATGTAAGTAGGTTAACTAATCAAGTTAGGGTTCTAATTTGTAGTATTTTTAAGAGCTTATACTTATCTTGCCACAAAACATCAATTTTCCTCAACAAAATAATATACGTACTATTCCAACTATTTATTTAGGGTCTGGCGTATAAGCTATTTCGGCAAATAAAATATTATCCTGACATTAGCAAACAAGCTTTGACAATAGATAAAAGTAGATATCTCATTCTCTGTTCAGTTCTTAAAATAGAAACGGAGTTGAATTGGGTCACTGACAGCTAGTTATCGATATCTATATTACTATTTTCTGTTACGCAAACCTTTTAGTCTCCTTAGGTTGGTTAAAAAAGTTTGTGTACTCGACCGAGATCAATAATTGATATGAGCGCATTCTGTGGCTCATCTAGAAGCTATACAACTTACTAGAGATCTTCTGGCCCATGTTCATGCCCCGGCCGCTGCGTGTGCGCCGGTGCTCCAGGTACGAAGCTGTCTTGTTTGGCAGAACTGAAGCTTTGTAGTTGTGTCTTCTCAACTCTCGTAGCTCCCGGCCGGAGACTGTTACGCGGCTACTGCTCACGCCTCCGCTACTCTTGTACCTGCGCAACAAAACACAACAGATTAGTCAACGAGATAAGCTGATCTTAGAAATAAAATCTTATTGTATTTTTTAATTGGTTGAAAGTTTGGAAATTAAAAGAATTTCCTGATTTTCATATCACAGGCAAAAGGATGCAGTGGAGGCTGAAGATGTTGGTTGGCAAACTTTGGAGGAGAATAAAATAGGTGTATCAGATGATCTATATTGGTCTAGGCTGAGGAAGGAGAAGACAATTATAGACTGTGGAAAAACCAAAAGTGGAAGTGGGTGGTAGCATTCTTAAACAGCACACTGGCCAGCATTCGTTCAATAAGTTCCTCAACCCAAAGGACAAGTAGGTAAACAAGAAAGTAAAGTGTAAATAACATTTTACTAGTCGTTGTAGTTTATAGGCCCTAGTTAAGAAAATTTTATTCATATGTTTACTTCTGAATCTCTTAGATACATATCAGCTTTGCTGAGGAGATTCTAGACCTCAGCATGCCTAACATAGCCTACTTAACAAATAAGCTCTATATTATCAATAAATACTGGTTACATAAGAAACCGCAAGGAAAAATTGAATATGTCAATGCTAATGGGACCCTTAGGAGGATTTTTAAGCTTTGTTGAAAGCTTAAAAAGCTATGTCGAAGTAAAAAAAAACATGAATTAATATTTTTTTTATCTAATTGGGTCATTCTAGATGTTTGTCCATATAATTCCTCCGTGTGAGCTGGGCCTTACTGGTTGATTTACTAAGTTGCAGTAGCACCCTGTATAACGTTTGAGTTTCCCGTTAAAAGTCTTTGACCAAAGTATAATTGTTAGAAAAACATATTAGGTTCAAACGAACATCTGCAGAACACATTTACCAGGTATAAGACCAACAAAAGAATATTGCGAATATTTCTTGTTACAACAGATCCCAAGTAACTTATACAATTCCAACACAAGCCGAGAAAGGCGTACACCATTGAGCAACCAAAAAATTCACAATTAAAAATCACCAAGTCAATTCCTATTACCTGTTTTTGTACGAGCACGAAAAAGCCACTTTGGGAAACGGGCCGAGAGCACTTAGACACATTTTAAGCTTTGAGTCATCCATGTATGGTAAGGTACAACGTGATTCCGATGCACTTGAGACACCAAGTAAACTACACATTAAAAATATTGTCGGACAAAGGACTAACTCTAACCTAAGAAATAAGAACACACTTGAAACTATAATGGACGAAGTTTTCAACAATGCTAAACACTCGAATCACTGTCAGACACTCCGACCTTCACTAGACGACCGACCACTTCTGACTAACATAACAAGACTAGACAAGCGAACGTTCACTGCTGTGACTGACTGATACTGATCGACTGACTACTGACTAGAAACTGAAGAGCGAACTAGTCAAACGCCCCTTCCTGACTGGCAGGGTTGGAAACTTCCACTTCTTCTCTCTCACATCATCCCCACCCCTCGCAAAACCCGGTGATTGTTGTTGCCCTTTTTTCAAATAAAATTAAAATGTTATAATTTATATTTTTATACATATGTATTTTATTAATGTTGGAAACTTGAATTACAAAATATTTTCATCAGTTGTAACAGCGATTGTACTTCGTAAGACAAAATGTACAACATCGACATGGAAAATAACATATAAATGCTTTGTTTGTTTGCCTTATCAATTCATAACAAACAAAATAGATGGTGCATTTTGATCGTAGTGCATCAATTAGATGGAGTTCATCTAATTTTAACGAAACAGTGACACGTTAGTCCATATCTCTTTTTTTTATTAAAGACTCGAGGACATATTTACTTTACAGTACAAAATACAGGCCTACTCACTCTTCGCTCACTCTTTTTCACAAAGCCCAAGTTCAAAATAATTTGCATGAACATGTTCTTGTTATCATACTTGCTATCAAATTTATTTCCATCTCTGTTCAAACATGAACGAATTCGTGAATACAGAACTACATTTCAGCCATCACAAGTTTAACAAATGACAAAATTACCAAAATTAAACCATGACCATGATATGTTAAATGATTAGTGTGTTAGTTTACCACCAACGTAGCTGCGTACCACAACTGCTGAAGTATGAGTCATCCCTATATCGCCGTTGACTATCACATCCTGCGGAAACAGCCTGGGCATGCGTCACTCTGGTCAGACATAATGCATCTCATTAGAAATGCATTTCCTAATATTATCGGGAGATAAAATTTGAATAAGGTGATTATAGAGTTCCTGCTTATTGTGTGGAATTTGAGGGTGATCGTTTAACTCGATTTTAAGTACTAAAGCAAATTGCTGTACAACAAATACAATAATTAGTACGATTCGAACTAGTATAATGCTTAGTGTATGATTTGAATTTAAGTATATAGTAAGTAGTTTTGAATACGTCACTCGTTGACTGTTTACATAACAGGACTGGCTTCTTCAATACAGTTCAAATTACGTATAACCCTTAAACCTTGGTTGCAAATAACGTTGCATATTTTTACCTAAATATCTTACTTTGTCAATTGTGCTTTACTAAAACAATTTCAAATCTTTAGGCAGGTTTACAACTTTTGAACATCTGACAACGTAATTTATGAAGACGAGGCGACATATTTGACAGCACCATTTCACCGTAGGAACTGATTTTGAGAAATTGACACCAGGAGAAAGCCACTTTCCAAAATCACGCCTAAGACCCAATTCCCTTTCTTATGGCAGGGTGAACGTACCTACCGTAGAAAGTTCGCCCCTACAGCCCGAACCATCGGTCTAGCCTGGGCTAGGGCTACGACCGTTATACTAGAACGCTCTCAGGCACACAAAGCCCCATCTCTCGCCTGGCCAACTTACAATAAACGCCCTTGGACCTTTCAGAGGTTCAACGCTCCACATCGACAATATCAAACAGAAAAATGAAACGTTTACCCCTTTAACACTCACATGCTCGTTACTGTAGCGAGTTGCGCCAAATTATAAATAATCAACGCTCAGGATAATTTATGAGAGTATTCTCAGTCTTAATTCTGAACAACGATTGTACTGTATTTCCTTTTTGTGTACATCCACGATACAAAGTGTACTGTATCTCATTTTACCGAGCTAGGAGATACCACCGGTAGCCCTAAACGGGAGAATTGCGAGACGTTGACATTTGTACCAGGGGACATGGCGGGCCTATATTGTACTTAGTACATTTGAACTAGGGGATTGTACATACATAAAGCCATGAACCAATGAGCTGTTTCTCTATTTGGTACCAGCATAATAAGATCACAGCGTCTAGATCTTATAGCAGAGTTGCTGTGTCAGTGCTAACTCCAGTTTCTGTATATTTATAGCTCGGCTCTAAATTGATTTTCCCACAGAAATATAAACATCTCAATGTAAAATATCATGGATAAAAGAACTTTATAGGTAGTTATGATGAATTATAAGGGCAGATTGTATCCTGGCCTTCTAAGAGCAACATTTTTAACATTTGGCCAAGAAAATCCAAAGTATAACATTTCTTGAAGAAATGTAGATGGCCCACTTACCAAACACACAGTTACTCAAGAAAAAAGTATAGCTAGCACTTAGTTTCATTTAAAAATAATATATAGACCTACGAATTTTTTATAGTGACCTTGAATGGCGAAGAGTATTTACTTTCTCATTCGAACTTTTACCTAATCATTTGCCATTAAAACTCTTAGGAAATTGTCAAAATAATATAAATTCAAAGGATTTAAAAATCTGACCACCAACCAAGTGGGGAAGTACTGGTTTAGATCCCACATTTTCAGCGAATCATGAAATTTTCAGAAGGCACCAAACAAAAAGCAACCAACAAAGAGAATGTCCCAAAGAGAAGGACACCTGTCCTTGACCTGTTGTCAGCATCTCCAACGCGAACAGGTGAGACGACTAAACATTGTGATTTACCCCAGTTACATTAGACCTTGGGGGTTACAACGGTTGTTAACGTTATATTATAGTAGAGTTGTAGCATTGACTATATAACACTACGTTGTAGGCAGGTAAACACAAACTGCCGTTCCTTTTACCTCATTATAACCCAGAAACAACATCAAATTGTCACAATCCTAGAAATTTAATAGCTTCATCGTTGAGGTAGATTATAAACTGTGTCGACAGAAATTAGTAGTATAAACACACAGACCCAATCAGTACAATCATAACAATCATAACAAAACAAAATCATAACAATCATAATAATCATAGTAATCATAACAATCAGTAAAAATATAGGCCAGCCACCAAGAAACTCTTACGTATTGGATAAGTTTATCAACTTTCTATCAGAATAATAATTGTGAAGACTTAAAAAAATGGGAAATACACATTAACAAAAGCAACACATAATTTTCCTCAAGTAATTATTTTAATGTTAGATAACTCGCATATAATACTTCAGTCTTAAAATGTATTTGATGACCGGTGTGGCTGGTCAGAATACACCACCATTGTAACGTATTTTACACATATTTACTAATGTAAAATAATGTTAAAATTGTATAGTGTTTTGATTTATCAAACTATTTGTCAATGTTCTCAATGTGTAACCTAACAAAGACCTTTTTTAGTTGACATAACTAAATAATATCCAACTGACAAACGGAATATTGGTTCTAGAATCGCTTTGAATCGAACCAACGACCTCCATATTTGAAGACTATAACCAATCTGCTACACAAACAGCCATATTCGTATATATACTATCTCAAACTCAAGTACTAATCAAGAAGAAACACACAAGTCACACAATGTATACAACGGAGATGAACCGACTGGTACAGCAGGTCCAGTGTCAAGTGTCAAGGTCGCAGCTATTCTTATCGTTTAATCCCACATTCCATCGCGCGCCGACCATCTGTTCGCATACCAATACATTGTTGGCAATCGCTGCTGCTGCAATTCCACTGTATATTGCGATTGACCGGGTGCTTGTGCTCGGACTGATGTTTTACCCTGACTAATACTGTTTACGTGGCCGCTTCCAGCTTGAGTCATTTGCAAACATTGGAGACAAATAAACACCACACCCTTGACCTTGGGACACTGATAAGATGTTAACGTTTGGCGATGTAATACCGAGAAAGGGGTTGCTGACACTATGGTGACACTACTACCACAAAACATGTACGATTTACAAAACCGTGTTTTCTTCAAGGTGTTAAAATGTTTGCCAGACAATTTCCAAGAAACTATCAAAAGGCGACAAGAAACATAACCTATACAAGAATGAACAGACGGGTATAAAGTTGATTTCCGAATTCGATGGAATATTTGAATATGGTAGTAGACATGATGTATAGAGGGAGGCTAGACGCATCAGTTATAAGTGATGAGAAGCAGCGATGTCAGTTGATGAGACTGTCATTCAACTGACTGCTACACTGCTGCTGACATTGCTATTGCTGCTGCTGCTGATGATGTTATTGTTGCTGTTGATATTCCTATTGCTGCTGTTACTAATATTACTTTTGCTCTGCTGATGTTGCTATTGCTACTGTTGCTGATTTTCCTATTACTACTGCAATTGCAATGCAGCTGATACGATACCATGGTGAAATTCCCATTAGGTTTATCTTAAATCTCTCAATCCAACGAGGCTAATGATGGACCTAATAACACATCGCATTTACTAATTCAATATATTTCTAAGTTGAATTTGAAAGAAACTACGAACGAAATGAATTTATACTTATACCTAAAACTTATATATTTTAATATTTTATTAATTATACTATTGAGTTGTAACTATTCATTGAGTTCCATATCATTATTGGAGTATAAATCACCCAAAAACACATTTAAATAGAGAAAACCATTTAGATACTCAGAGAAAGAGCGTATTAACAGACAGACGTGTAGTGTTGTATTGCACAGTGATATATTTCAAATCTGGAGCTTCACTCTGGCCGAGGTCTCGCTCGGTTGCACCAGTTTCCCATTTCCTGGACCTCCAAACCTGTAAGGTAAGGATCACTGCAGGAAGATCCTTGGTCCGCGGCCCTGGCGTCGCGTCGCTGCGGCTGCACAAACCTGATCCTTTGTCCCTTAGTCCCAATTTATTCGTCTGAGGTACCAATCACCGGGACTGCTAACACTTGACTAACCATATTCTGCAACATCTAGTATGCATTTACTACCGCATCAATGTAGTTATTTTTTAATTTAACCGTAGAGTCTGATAATTAGAACAAATAGAATGCAGTCATAGATTAAATGGTGGTTTCCAACATTTTGTATACATGTACTATGATCAAGAACAGTTCTGTGTGACGTTAAGATAAA